TTACAATCCTACTTACAATCCTTACTCTAGTTCATTCATCGCTGCCCTAAGCTTTGGGGATGCGAGACATATAGATGATAAGTGATAGAGAAGCAATCCTATTGAATAGGGCCGAAAGCTCTTCAGCTTTTCAGCAGGCTATCACCTTTAAAATCGGGATATATCAACTACTTACCTAGGTAGGTAAGCGTGATGATCTTGTAGTCTTGTTAGATTCGTCATATAAAGAATCTCGCGCCATAAGAGAATTAGTAAATAATGATTTAGCGTAGAGTCTGATATATCTTAATGTGGGTAATCGGTATCCCGAGACATCAATAGCTCGTAATGCCTGATGGGAAATCCGCGGACCTAAATTCAGAAGGGAAGATTTTCAAATTGGAGCAGATTAAAACATTGAAAATGTCATTCTAATTGAGGCGCCTCATTGCTCTGTTACTTAATCCCTGGTCGTACAATACACTAGGTTAACCTAGTGTAGTTCCCGCGTCTTCACAGGTCGGTGGCCGGTGGCCGCGAGCACTAAAACTCGCCTCGGTTAGACGGCAATAGTGGATACTACGTACCTAGATAGTGGGCCGCATCCTTACGATCTTTCAAGGCTCGTTTGTATGTAGGGTAGAGGCTTTCGGGTCTAACAAAGCCTCAACCCTTACGAAATCTCCACTAAATCCGAATTTAGCCATCCTTTCTCGACTTTGACTCATAGCCTTGCATACTACACATAATGATCTCATAACACAATAAACACTACCTATACAAGGATTGTGTTTTAACATGCCTACATATTGTTGCCTCACCTATACTTTGATCTTGGTGGATATAAACTAAGATATCCGCCACAAACGGCTTTATGAAGCGTTGGAAGTGGTATCCGAGTTTTATCACTGATTAACTCACGAATCTTACGAAATTCTTCTCCATTTTTTCTTTTTGCAAACGTCTTTCTTTAATTCACATCTTGCCGCGCAGCACTGCATAAGCGCTGCTTACAAACGTTTGTATCAACAACTCGTTGATTTTCGCCTATTTCGAAGCCGCTGTATTTCAAAAAGCGCATTACGAGGCGGTCTAGTCATAACCCCCTCAGTCGTTAGATTACCTAAGGTACCTGGGCTTTAATAAACACATTTGAAGTTAACAACTACGGACGGAGCAACTATGGAGGGTTCGCAATCCTCAGAACTGCCGTTAGATCCAACATCGAGGAATCGTGGCAATCGCCCTCGAGGAGGGAGAACGTCCGGTAGTCGTGGGGGTCGTGGGAACCGTGGAGGCCGCGGCAATCGAGGTCTGCGTGGCCTGCAAGTCGTTGAGAGGAGCGAACCGTTACCAGCAAATCCCGAAACTTCCGTCGCTTCTCCAGCCACGGCGCCCTCGAATGCCGTTAGTCGAGGTGATAGAGGTCGGAGAGGCTCCAGGGGTCAAAGGAGAGGACGTGGTGAAAATGCCCAGAGAGCGACAATGAGCAGACCCCGACATTTTGGCGGTCACCTGACAACCAGCACCGGGGAGTCTGATGCTACGAGTTCGACGTCTTTAAATCCTGATGTTACAGAGTTTATCCCCGGTCGACCACTAGTTGACCGAAGTAATAGTACCGCCATCAAACCTCAGGCGAAGAATAGTGCCGGCAGAAAAGCTTCGAAATCTAATGCCTCCGATCTTACTACGCGTATTTCTGAGGATATCGATAACGGACAATATGAATGCGTGATTTGCACGAATGAGGTTCTGCGGAACTCAAAGGTCTGGTCATGCTCCATATGTTGGACTGTAACACATATGACCTGTGTTAAGAAATGGTTCTCCAACCGGACAATTAATTCGGACCAAATCAACTGGAGGTGCCCGGGATGTAATTCCCCCTTGACCGATGAGCCTACTACTTATCACTGTTGGTGTGGCAAGGAGATCAACCCTCGATCGGTTCCCGGAGTTGGTCCCCATAGTTGCGGTCAAACATGCTCAAAGCCCAGAGCTACTTGTCCTCACCCGTGTCCTCTAGAATGCCATGCTGGCCCCTGCCCACCTTGCCAGCTCATGGGGCCGACTCAATCCTGTTTCTGTGGTAAACTTACGTCTACAAAGCGCTGTGGCGAGACGGATTATGTTAATGGATGGAGTTGTCACGGATTTTGCGGGGATCTACTTCCCTGCGGAGAGCATGAATGCCAAAGGGAATGTCATTCCGGCCTCTGCGGCAGTTGTGATGTTCCCGTCTTCTCTTTCTGTTATTGTGGCCGGGAGTCTAAAAGCATTCCTTGCGACCAGCGTGGTGATAGACGAGAGTCTTATAATCGCGGCCAAGTCAAGACCGGAGGTGACGTGAAGAGCGAGGATTTACCTGATCATTGGTACTGGGGTACTTTTGATTGTAATTCTGTCTGTGGCAGATTCTTTGATTGCCAAAGGCATCGCTGTAAACGGAGCTGCCATCCTCAAGACGAGAGGGACGAGCATTGTCCGTTCTCTCCTGATTCTATTACCCACTGTCCGTGCGGGAAAACACCACTAGTCGATATTCTAGACCAGCCAAGGCAGAGTTGCGAAGATCTGATTCCTAATTGCGGGAAAACGTGCAATAACCCATTGTCGTGCGGGCATTCTTGCCAAGACACTTGCCATACTGGACCTTGTGCGCCATGTATGCAGGCAACGGAGATTAACTGCAGATGTGGTCGGACGAAAACGAAATCGATCTGCCACCAAGGAACAATTGCGATCCCCGAGTGCATGAGGATTTGCAGGGTTCAGCTCAATTGTGGGAGACATGAGCACGGCGAGCATTGCTGCTCCGGAGAAAAGAAGGCAATGGAACGAGCAGCCGCCAGGCGGAAGAATAGGAACGCTGCTCCGACAAATAATGATGTGGAAGCGGAACACATTTGTACTCGCCCCTGCGGGCGGGCATTAAAATGTGGAAGACATCAATGTCAACAAATGTGCCACAAGGGACCTTGTCCTTCGTGTCCCGAAGCTATTTTCGAGGAAATCAGCTGCAACTGCGGCCGAACAATTCTCCAACCACCGCAGCCTTGTGGTACACAGGCGCCAGAATGTCGCTTCGACTGTACCAGGCCTCGCCCGTGCGGTCACCCCCAGGTATCTCATAATTGCCACCCCGACGGAGAGCCATGCCCGAAATGCCCGTTCTTAGTTGAGAAACGATGCGTCTGCGGTAAGAAAGCGCTGAAGAACCAGCCTTGCTGGTTTGAAGAACCACTTTGCGGCTTGCCCTGCGGGAAGAAGCTCAAGTGCGGCGCTCACACGTGCGAGAAGACCTGCCACCGCCTAGGTGAATGTGAAGATGCTGATGTTGCAGGATCTCGATGTAAACAGCCCTGCGGCAAGAAACGGGGTTGTGGGCATTTGGACGCCGAACAGTGCCACGCCCCATACCCGTGTAAGGAGGATAAACCCTGTCAAGCGAGAACATTTATCACTTGCGATTGCCAACGTAGAAAGCAGGAGGTTAGGTGTCTGGCAACAAAGCGCAATTCATCGCCCCAGCGGGATACGATCAAGTGCGATGATGAATGTCTTCGATTACAGCGAAATGCTCTCTTGGCAAACGCCCTAAATATCGATCCACTAACTCACACGGATGATTATGTGCCATACTCTAACATGACTATAAAGCTTTACAAGGACGATCCGCAGTTCGCACAGACTTACGAGCGAGAACTTCGCCTCTTCGCAGTAGACTCGACGCAAAGGTTTATCCGGTTTAAACCAATGAAGTCTTCCCAGCGAGCTTTTCTTCATTCCCTTGCTGAAGACTTCGGATTTGACAGCGAAAGTGTCGATCCAGAACCTCATCGGCATGTGTGTCTCTTCAAGACACCGCGATTCGTATCTGCGCCGATGAAGACGCTCTCACAATGCATAAAGAATAAGTCCCCAGCACAAGCCCTCTCTACAAAAGCATCAGCAGCAGCTAGTGAAGATATCTCGACGAGACATCCTTTTAACGCTCTTCTTTTGTCGGCACCGCAATTTGGGTTGACTATCGAGGAACTTGATTCAGCACTTCAACGAGAGTATGCTGCCTATCCAAATATCAAGTTCGAGACAAGTTTCCTACCTTCCAACGAGGTCGTTATCAAGGGCTCTGGTCCGCCAAGTCCGCAAAATCTAGAATCTTCGCTTTCATCTCTCAAACCTAGTTTATTAGCCAAGGTTACGAGCTCGGGATTTGCCAGCGGCGTTTCTCTCTGTCATACCGATGAGCATTTGAATGTGCTACGGAGCGAAAAAGATACCCAGGACAAAGGGAATGAGGGTTGGAGCTCGGTTATGCGCCGCTCTGCCCGCCCAAAGCCACCTACCACTCCGGCAACTTCCGCTATGCCGCGTAGGGGTGGGTTCGTCGCTCTGAGGAAAGAACCAAGGAAGAAGATCGAGGAACAATCTGTCGAAGAGGACTGGGAGGCAGCGGCTGAAAAGCTAGACGAAGAATGAAAGCGTTATGATATTTATAACGTGAGAAATGCTACTTGAATAAGTAGCTCACTATTTGTAGTCATATGTGTAGTAAATTGAGACTATGAAAAAACGTCCAGATAACGGTATAACTAATAACTATTAGTAGTTAAATTGATGTGATTCAACAATATTGTAATCTTCGGGGGCTGTGTAAACATTTCGAGGCTATATACTTAAGTTTCAGTTTCTAGGTTAATTTCCATGCTTTAAGGGGTAATAAAAGAAAGCAGCCCTACTAATTGCCTAAGACTGTGTAGACATACTAGTTCTTATATTAATATAGAACAGTTTTTTTTTTTCAACTCCTCGTAGTTAATAGGTTGGGCCTGTCGGTCTCAATTCAAAGCAAAGGGATTGTTCAACAATATTAGAGAGCAACACTCTATCGAAAAGGAGTCATTCAGGGGTAATGGATCTGATATGTAACTTACATAATCGCAACTACGGCCCACTAAATATACGCCCCACTGTAGATAAAGAATTAGATAAAAAGATGATCGTCATAGGATGCAGGGACCTGCAAAGCTCCCATTTCCCATTTCCTATTTCCTCAACTAAAAATCGTCAAGATGAACAACTTCGGCGTGATAGAGCTTGCGAGTACCAAAACCACCAATGCCCCGGGCTGGGCCTACGTGCCCGACACAACCCCTCACTTAGCAGCAGCAGCAGCAGCCGCAGCATCGCTCCAGACAGGGAACAGAAAAAGAGCTGCTCGCAACCAAGTGACAAACACCAGTGCCTTATACGCCGACGCCGACGCCCGCCAGGAAGCCAAACTACGCAGGGAGATCGAGGCCCTCGACCGCGATAACTACCACCGCGACGTGAGCATACCCATCGTAGCGAAGAGCAGCAATACCAAGGCTGGCGTGAAGAAACACACCCCCAACGTCCGCAAGATCCTGCAGTCCCAGAAGACCTTCGCAAACCACCTCGACGACTTCGAAGCCCTCCTCGCACAAGAGAAATCCAACCCCAGCGCCTCATCTTCCACAGCCGCCGCCTCTACTGCTGCCGCAGCAACTTCTTCGACCGCAGGGCCTTGGCCTTCGAAAAAGGGCGGCGGCGGTGGTGGTAGTGCAGCAGCAGCAGACAAACACCAGCCAAAAACCTCCAGCAAAAAGTCTTCCAAGCCAAACCCATCCCGCTCGGCATCCATTTCCAAAGCCGCACCGGCCGTGAAACAAGAAGAAGAAACCACCAACACCAACACCAACAACAACAACAACAACATCTCCATGCCCGACGCGCCCCAAGACGATCCCTCATCATCCACCACCACCACCACCACCTCCTCCTCTTCTCCGTCCCTCCTAACACCCTCCTCGCACCCCAACCACCACCACCACCACCACCACCACGCCCAAGACACCAACCCCGACCCGCTCCTGACGTCCCGCGTCCCCGCGCTCCCCACCCCCGCCGAGCTGCGCGCCCTCGTGTCCGCGCCCCCGCTGAACTACGCCGAGGCGCGCGGCCGCTGGACCGCCGCCGACGACGGCCGGCGGTATCCCGCCCGCGTCTTCTGCGAGGTGTGCGGGTACTGGGGACGCGTGCGGTGCATGCGCTGCGGCGCGCGCGTCTGCGCCCTCGAGTGCCTCGAGACGCATCGCGAGGACTGCGTCTCGCGGTATGGCTTGTGATGTCATGATTTGAGGGGTACCTACCTACCTACCTACCTTCCTACCTACCTGTCCAGTGTAGTTAAATTCGAACGGGGAGCTCTAGTTATAGGCACGGAGATTAATTGCGGTGTGACGGCTCGAGTGGGAAGAAGTCTGGGCTGTTGGGAAATTTACAATATAGGTGGTGGTGGTCTATGTGCTTTATGGGTTAGCGAAAGACTCTGGCGTCCGGTTATAAAAGGGGGTTCTCGATCATTCTGTTATATGTCAGAGAGAACAAGGCGCAGAACGATCATGTTAGAAAGATACCCAGTCACAATACAAGCAAAATCGGTATTTAAACGAGTTTCGTTAGTTGAAGAGTATAGTATATACAGCGTTCATTTGTTTCCGTCAACCCTCCAGTTCAGCTGGGGGTGAAGGTTATGTGTGTGTGTGTGTGTGTATCTTTTATACAGGTCTGCCTCACCAATGCGGCAGCGATATTCGCGATAGTGCCGCATAGACGAAAGAAGGGGATGCGCGCCAAACCTGCCAAACGCCCTGAGTCCCGATGTCCGCCAGGGTATCTGAGACCCTATACACGTACGCCTCCCGCCAGATCTCTACAAAAGAAAAGCATAGCTCTTTATTTTTTTTAAGTCCCCCTCCGTGTCCTTCATAATGCGAGTGATTCCGAGACTTTTGTACATTGCAAACTAATTGGCTAGTCCACTCCTTTACAACGGCGAGTCGAGCGTGAAGTCCACGTTGCCGCTTGATGCACCGCCCGCGCACGTGCCCTTCATGCTGCCTGTTGGGCAGACGGCCCTGGCTGCGCGAACACATTGCTCCCATCGGCCCTTGGAGATGTTGATCGTAGCACCGGATGTCGCTGCGCTCAGCGTGAACTCGGCGCTGCCGGATCGACCAGTCGTGGTCTCAGGTGCGCCGCCGCACTTCTGGATAGACCCTGCGATGCCTCCACAGATAGCAAGTTCTGCTACATTTTGATCGTGGAACACAATGTTCCTATGTTGACAATTAGTCGGAGTCCTTATATGCTTCACGTGTAGTTGAAAAGATATAGTTATTTATAGTCTATGAAAACTTACTTATTTCGGTCAATACACTCCACACCCGACACTGCCGCGGGATTCACTGACGTCGAGGCTCTCATGTGAAGGACTTCGAGGTGCTCGCCATCGATCGAGTAGTGCGGCCAAACGGGGCTTGCCGCCGAGAGACTCGCGCCGGCGACGAGCAGGACAAGGGACTGAAGAAGAGTCGTAGAAAGCATCTTGGCTGGTAGAAGGTAATTCGAGTCTAGCTCGGAAAGAAAAGAACAAAATCGAAGATGATGAAGAATAAAGAGTGAATTGAGCAGTCGAAGGAACCTATGAAGAAAACAGACGTCAAGTCTGGAATGTCGAAAAGGGAGAAGAAAAAGACGAGGCGGTGACCTGCACTTTTCCAGCCGCAGAAGAAAATTGAGATAGATCGACGACGGGTTAAGGTAAGGCTTAGACCAGAAACGAAGTTGACGAGGAGAATGTGCGCAGAGAAATGGCCAGGCTCAAAATTTAAAAGAGAAACAGAGACATGACACGGGGAATAAACAAGGCACTGGCAGACTGGCAGACCAGACAGGGACCACAAACCACGGACACCATGACTACTATGTAGACACCATGACTATTTCCGGATCCCCAGCCCAGGCGCAATCCTAGTCGGGGCCAGGGCGGAGAACCCTGACCCCGGCGGCTTAGTTCCCAAGTGGTGCGCTCGTCGATCAATCTGTGACGAGCCTCCCTTGGGACGAGGGCGTCCGGGGTGGAGGCGGCGATACGCAAAGGTGGAAAATATGAAAATATGTTCGGCCGCGGACTAGACGATACCGATTCTAACAGCTTGGCCGTTCTCAAACTAGAAGTGGTTGCGCGTGCCTTACGTACCTAGGCAGCTAGGTAGTAAAGCGCATAATCTTACACATTAGCTCTTAATAGCGATATTGTATAGCCAGATGTAGTTATTTGACTTCGTAAGTATAACTAATGCACACGTGTATTGTATTGTACTTTGTAGGCCCGGGCAACTCTGTCGATATCGGAATGCGGGGATCCCGTCCGATCATTTTATTCAAATTCGTCCGATGAAAGGGATGTGCCATCAATCTGCCTCGTTAGGAAGGACGGGGAGATCTATCACGATTATTTCTTCCAGCCATATCCATACAAGCGCTGGAGATCACATACCTTCAAGAGACCGGAGAAGATGCGAGCTTTGAAGACATCGGTGGGATCGAGCCAACATGAAACGGTGGCGTCGGGGGTTGATACAGGGGTAACTGACAAATGGCGACATCGTCTCAACCCAGATCGGGCCACAATCCAAGCAACCCAAGTTTGTTTCAATGTTTCTGAAACCTGCAATTCCCGATAGCTCTTCCAACGCCTCCAACTCTTCCCCCTTCTAGAACTCCATACTACCAGCTAGAGATTCGGAGCCATTCGTCACCACGTTACCATGGATTGACTCAAGTTAAGCATTTCTGTGCCGTAAGATCCTATGGTAGCTATTAAAAACAACGTTAGGATGAGCCAGGCCGGGAAGGATTAAAAAGGTTCGAGGCTGAATACGTACGCTGCCTTATTAAGAACTTAATAACCAACCAATGACGAAGATTCTCTCTTCGAGGAAACGTTCAGCATGTGACGAAAGATAAAAGTGCCTCTAATCGAATTCGGTGTGCACGTTGGTTACGCTCCTTTTCGTCCACCGCAAACACCACAGATTCCGGAGTCCCCGGCATTCAGATACAAGCTGTCCCGGCAAGAAGAGCTCCTGCATTTCCACGAGTTCGGTACTTTGTTAGAATCTAAAACGTGAGAGCAGATACCACATATAGTAGCTCCTGAACCACTATCGAACGAGCACATAGGACAAGTGCCCCCAGCTGAATTAGGGATACTACTAATGGAGATAGTAGCGCTGCTTGCCCCTTCTGACGGTGAACTCTTGATAGTCTTACTCGACTTCTTCTCGCTAACACGTCGTTTCGTTGATCCCGTTGCTTGAGGTATAGTTCTTATCGGTGCTACCACTTCGAGCTTCTCGGGCTTCACTTTAATAGTGGATTGGGAAAGCTCCTTAAGTTCGTTCTGTACATCTTCGTCTCTGGCGTCTTCGTCCTCGCATACTTTGACCAAATTATGGCCCTTAGTATCAACAAGCCGTCGACCGTTGATATCTACGGCAGCTTCGCCCTCACTATCGCTAGTCGTCTCCGATTCGCTGCCTTCTTCTTTCTTGACGTCACTATCTTGTTCGTCTTTCGTTTCTTCGGCCTTCTTCTGCTGGTCGAACCGTGCCAGGGCTGCTGCCGCTCTGAGTTCCCGGCCTCGTTTGCTTCCTGCCACACGGGGCTTCCCTTGAGCCTTCTTTCCCTTCTCTAGTTCGGTTTTAATAACTCCATCTTCGCCGAGGGGGACTCCGTTCGCACCGAACTTCTTCAAGATTCGGCGCTCTTTTCGTTCTTGGTAAGACAACTGCTTCTTTTGTTTTCGCTTTCCGCGCCTTGAACGATAGGTTCCGCCGCACAGATGCTCCGGCAGATCTTTGTCTGACGATACAGTATTCTTTTCGAACTCTCCAGTTTCTAATAGGGTGCCTCTTCCCCATAATCCCTCACCAGTGTATTTGTGCGACCACAGGACTCTCATTTGATCTGCGTAGCTATTTCTGACGGCCCAAAATGCCTTAGAGTGATTCATCTCCTTGCAATGAGCCAGCCTTGTCGGGGACACTGTTAGCATTAAACATACACAGGATTATAGACAAATACATACTCGTGCATCATCACCATCTGGACATAGTTGAAGGGTAGCCATTGTTTGGTAGAACGTGATTTCAATACCAGCTGTATAACTTCTCCAGCATTGAAGTTACGGCCAACAAACTCCCTGTTCGGTTCGTACTCTTCCAAGGATACGACTGAGATATGATGTTCTTTCATGATTGGTACTACTAGCGATTAGCAAATGAAATCGGCTCCAACTTGATATTGTGTATATAATCAAGACTGCCTGTTTAAGTTAATACTTACGACATTGTGCTGCGATCCGTTCTAAGAACTGCTGCGCGATCTCTTTGTCGGGGCCTTCCAAGGGTTTGATGAAAACGATATGGTCATTTGGCTGCGATTTTTTTGCATTGATTCGCTCGAATCCAAGAGGCATCGTGATATATGAGAAGTTTGTTCAAATAATTAGATGGGATTTAATAGTAGAAAGGCATTTAATGATTCTTTGACGCGTACTGCAAGTGAGATGATATGAAGAACGTTGTTTGTTGTTTACGATCAATGAGAAGGGTTCAACTTTCTACGGCTCTTCCGAACCAATGAACAGATTGGGTTAAAATAGCTTTATGAAGAACCTCTAATGATGAGAATAGATAAGTACCTAACGTTGAATCAATGACCTAACCTAAATGATTTACTTTTTCCTTGCCTCGTAACGGGAAGCGATGTGGCGGTTATTAGGTTTAGGCGGTTATAGGGGACATCTTATCGGCGTTGCAGGGAGAACAGCCCATAAGCCCCACTATCATCACCTAAGGTCCGAGCCCCGACTCAAATTGTTATCAAGGTCAATTACTTGAAGTACCTAACTCAACATATAAATACTTGAAATTGCTTGGAAATCTCATTTTTACTCCATGACTATATTTACTAGCATCGAGACATTTTGCTCATTTGTTCTTTTATGTACTGAAATATACTGAAATGTAAAACATCGTCCCTTTCTTTCCTTCAAGGTAAAAAAAGAACATCATCTTCTTCGACCAGCACCACCAGCACCACCAGCCCCTGAATCACCTTTATCGGCTAGTGACACAATCTCACCAATGCCAGCAGCTTCTTGTTCATCTTCGAGGGCAGTAATCTCCTCGCGGCAGTCCCACCACTTTTCTTCGCTGAGCTCAAATGCCTTGGTCTTAATCTCCTTGACTGTAAGAGTTTCTGGTTGAATGCCCTTCCATCTCAGGCTCATCATAAGGACTTCTTGCCACTCGTTCGAAGTCCGGACGAAGAACTCCCTTCTAGACTCAAAAGGCTAAGTATACGAGGTTAGTCATTTGCTATGAATGGGGTTTTATGGGGAAACATACCCGTGGATGTGGTAATCCATCATCAACTGTAGTTGCAACCGTGCCGGCTTCTGACACATCGTCCCATATTGAAGATCCTGCAGTAGATGCTGTGTCGGCCATCGACACATCGTCCTCCTCATCTTCATCTTCATTTCCATCTTCACTATCGTCCTCCTCGTCTTCGTCGTCTTCATCCTCCTCGTCGGAGCCCTATAATACTCGTGTTAGACCAAAGAGACCAAATTGAAGTTACTAATAATAAGAAAACGGAAATCTTACGACCCAAGTATCGTCTTCTCTCTTGAAGATCTGCTTGCAGCCATCCATCTTGCCGAGATCGATAGCGTACATATCGTCAAACGTAAACTCCCGGTCTTTCGCCTCAAAGGTACCACCATAGATGTACAACACATCATCCTGCACTGCTAATTGTGCGTTAAATCGTGGGTGTGGAAGATCCATGGATACCGGCATCTCTCGTGTTGGTTTTTCTGGTTCTTCTGGCTCTTGCATAGCTTTTAGATCTATATCTATGTCGCCTGCGTCTTCTACAGACGATCCAGCCTGTAAAGCAGCAAGCTGCTTTAATAGTTCCTCCTCATTTGCTTGAGCCCTACCACGCCTTCCAACTCTCTGCTCCGATGCAGGGGTTTTCTTTTGGGCCCTTGATTTGCGTAGTGTCAACGGAAAGAACCTGTTTCGTTCTACGTTCCATGCGTAGAGCTGGTTAAAGAACTCGCTTTCCATACCCTCTTCGCTCTGCTCAACATCATGAACGCCACCAAAAAGAATACCGCGTCCCTTGTGGTAAGTCATAGTTGATCCGGCCCGTGCCGGAACAGGCGTATTTGCTGGCTTCTTCCGCTTCTCCCACCTTACGGTTGGCGGTGTATTCGGTGGAGAATCTGCAGGGGGTTGGGTTATTCGCAAGAAGAAGCAATCTTCGTGTACTGAAGGTTTAAGGATGTTTCTTTGCCCTTGCGATGCGCCCTTAGCCGACTTATTTGCCGATACAGTTGTCTTTACTCTGGAGTATCCTCCAAATAATACGGCGCCTTGTTCGTGAGGGAGAAAAGTAAAGGACGACCTGGCGTCTGGTTTTAGCTGCGCTGGTGGAAGCGTAGGGTTATGCCAGACGAAATTCTGTATTAAACATCAGTACCAATATTATTACATGAGCTACGAAAATAAGTTACTAACCTGGGTGTCATAGAGCCAAAGATCACTTAAATACTTTGTCTGATTAGAAGTATCTTGAAAGCCTGGCTTGATGTTAGCATATCTATTCAAACCAGTTCATAAACTCACGATGTCTCTTACATACCACCGAAGAGGATAATGTAATTCTTATAGTAAGTCATACGGTGCCCACTCCTTGCTGGAGGGGTCTTGCCCTTGGTTTCTATGCGTGTCCATTCCCGAGTGCTCGGCTCCAGTCGCCAGAAATCATTGTAGTGATAAAATGTACCTTGCTTGGGGCTATATGTTGTGCAATGTTAGTATAGGATCTTATAAGCAACAACAACACTTGTGTAAGACACGACAGAGGTATTGTATGACGGACCTGCTAAACTCGCCACCAAATAAGAAAACCGAGTCTTTTTGGTTTCCTCCTCTACACCAGGCATGTCCAGATCGCGGAAGGGGCGCATTCGGTGAAGTCACGCAATGCCATTCATCTCTATCTGTATAGTAAATATTGAGGTCATTGAAAAAGCTCGCAAGGGCTCCATTCCAAGTTTCTCCGCCAAATAATAACAGCTGGTTGCTATTTGAAGGGGAAGCTAAGAAGGTCGCGGACGACCGCGGCTTGGGAGGGGATTCGGAGACGGTCTCAGTAACCTTAACAAACTCCTCTTGAGCCTTCTTATATTCAGCAAGAACCGCATCTAGATCAACATCTTCGGCATCACTCCCTTCGACCTTTGAAGCCTTGACCTTTTCCTTCTTCTGAGCTTTCTTCTCCTGCTTCTGCTTCTTCTCGGCAAGCTTTGCTTTCTTGGAGTTCGACTTGGACTTCTTGTCTTTTGCCATGGTGAGATTTATTTATATAGATGACGTAGGCATAAAAGTACCTAACCTATTTAACCTAGGTAGGTACATGTATTCTTCTTATGCCTTATCAATGTACTTGGTGGGCACCTAGACGAAAAGATCAATGGAAAGGTAACCACATGTAACTAACCTAGTCCAATTTGAACTTGCACTTCAGCTGGCAGCTGGCAACAGCTGTGCCAGTCATAAAGTCTGTTGGGAAGGAGGCCTTTTGCCACCTGTCAGCCCCTTCCCCGCACTAACAAAAGATGAGGCTTAATTCAATGTAACGCCGAATCAAAATTTAACAAGCTTTGCTCCGCGACATAGCCAACACATTAGGTTATGTACTTTGAGGTAGCTCACCCTTTTTTACTTCAAATGTTGTAGCTAAAAGGGGGAAATCTGGTCATAGCATCGCGAACGGTTTTAATTAGTAGGGCATTGCAAAACCTTGGTGGAGGCACAGTGCTTTATAAATACCTATATAAATATCCCCTTCCTTCTTTTAGGTACACAATAACAAAAACTCCTCTAACCTACCTGAATGCCAGTAATAAGAACCGTGATAATGCCCAACATGATCTGCAGTTTAATATTAAAAAAGCATTGCTGCTTTTCACTTTTATTTGGCCGTCTTTTCCGAAAGAATTATACGATTCAACCTCAAAAAGAGGTGTCATACTTGATGAACCTCCCCGTCGAGATAATCTATCTTGTCTTCCAACATCTTCCGAATGTCGATGCGGTATGCTTTGCTTTGACCTGCAAAGCTACGTTTTCTATAGTAGATAGAAACGTAATGCAACTCGACTCCCAAGCGAAAGAAATACTTCTGATAAGACTAGAGAAAGAGGTTCTAGGGCTAATATACCCCCCTTTTTTAAACATACTATTGCCATTCTACAAGAACGGCGAGATACCCTTTGATCCATTCTTGAAAGATGGTAAATCCTTATATTTTTGGGCAATGAGTTTTGGGCGCAGGGGGAGAATAATAACTTACGAGCAAACCCGGCTTGTTCGAAACTACCGACTGTTTGGCCCTGGACATGGCGTTCCCCTATCGTCTCTATCTTTTGAGGGAACAGGACGCACAAGGCCGATACGATTCATGCACCGGTGGTGTGAAACGTATGTCGAACAATCAAGGATAGCCAAGTGGGTTAGTGAAGAGCTTTTTCTATTGTGTACGAAAACGAGGTATTTAAACAAACTAGAGAAAGAAAAGGTTAAGATTGCAACCTTACAAGACTTTCTTACCAATGTAGATATATAGACAAATATATGTCATCATTGCTTCATCGATGGCCGTGATACCAATCACTTACGCTACAATCCCATGTATGCGGACTTTCCTCAGATTCAAACAAAACTATCCGAGAACTCTGTGTACAAGAGTACGGGATCTTGCAATTTTTGCGAGACTGACTGGGACATTTCAATTTCGTGGAACGATTCTATGAGTGGCTTGGTTATTGCGTATATAACATACCAGGATCTGGGTACTTGCTCGTTCCCTCATGATACGACATGGCAGAGGATGGCTAGCACCCCTTGGGACGCCAATTTACTCAAAATAGAAGGACGAACGGGACGAGAAGGGATTTGTGGCGACATAAAGCGTCAATGGATAGAGGCAGTTTAAGATTTATTTGCACACATATTTTGTTGGATTCTAGATGAGATATATAGAACAAATTATATATTCAGTACATATAGCCACAGGCTTCCATAGTTAGGTTAGAGTTCCTTGCAAAATAATGAAGTTGTTTCCATGCTGTTTTGTTCCATTTGGTGACACGGCGCCCATCGTGGCCTTAACAAACTGGTTTCGACTTCTTTTTGCCAGCCAACCTATAGTCTTAACAACCTAGCACAGCAATAAGACAGTCTTGTATACCGAAAAGGAGCTGTTTCGCAGGATGCCGTAGCTATCATAGTTCAACTAATATCTACTTCGGTAGAGCGACATGGCTAAGGCACACACTTTATTCCATTCTATCTAGACTCATACACGATGCAACCACTAAACTACTAGATAACACGTGTGGTATTAACATACAACTAATTTTGACGTCCACTTCCCAGCCAGATATGTACACCTTACGTCGTAGTACTAGTACATAGGCATATAACTTGCTAATAGGTAAACGTTGTTTAGTTATTTAGATATTGGATAGTACAGTGATCCTATTATAAAGGATAGGTAATTAGCTGGAGGATTGATTCTTGACTGGCGCACCGCTATGTCTACCCCTTACTGCTATTGCTAACGCCCTGCTAAATTATCCCCCCTAGTAAACGAGTGCATAATTTATGATAGGTAATTGAGTACCTATGTTTTTATATTATCTGCCGCTTGCATGTATATTCTACCTAAGGTTAGGCTGAGTCGAGTTGGAGTAATAAAAGTATTAACTAGTTTAGTAAATACAAAGGCCAAAAGTCTTAGCACTGTGTTTCATACGTCTTTTAACTTACTAATACTGTATAGGCCCTATGCTAAGGCTCATCCCATCCGCTAAATTCAAGCAGCTCACCACTATATTTATAGCAATACGGAATATTAGCCACTGCTTTACCAAGCTCAGATGTGAAAGACTTTTGACCCGGTCCCGGGCTTGCAAACCCGATTCCATTGTCGTAGGTATTTTAAAAAGAGTGATAAAACCTACATACATAGAGGCAGAACCTTTTATACAACTACCTACCTTACATGCTACCTACTGCATACTACCTTGTTCTAACACACTTTCACCGAGCGAAGACTTCTCGGAACCTCCACCTAAGGTTCTTGTAATACATGATGACTCTTAATTAGGCAGTTGAATTTATTTTCACCCACTTTTTAAAAACCCTCTCATCTTTTATTTCTCTCACTTAACCTAGTCGCCGAGATGGCCCGATAGGCGCTACTTTGATAATGGCATTTGCACCCACTTAGCACTTAGTCGCAAGCGGTGACTCTTGTCCGTCGCATCTATTGAAAAAAAAAAAAAAAAAAAAAAAGAAAACCGCCGCCGCCGACCTCAGAACTAGCTCCACTTCACCGCGTCCACCCGTGATAGTATCGATATGTTCTAGCAGTAACTCAGCCTGGGTTTCGTCGCTCCCATCTGCATCTATCATACGTGACTGTCCTATTTCTAGCAATCAGCTTCCCTTCGTGGTTCTAAGGCTGATACGGGATTCCAGCTAAGCGTTTAATATCGCGCCTCTCTACTCTTTGGATCTCCACGTTGGAAATATGGCAAGCACGGAAATAGAGACAATGGCGGCGAAACCCTCGCAGACTCCTACCCAAGGAAGGTCGGCTGTACTGGAAGCCGTACAAGACATTGTTTATGGATCTGTGAGTTTGATTCCCAATCAATACGTATTCAATTTCCAGAGCGCTCTAACAATAGTAGACCGCTGGTATTGTAGGGAAATACATTGAATATCCTTTCGACACAGTCAAGGTTAGGCTGCAGTCTCAACCGGACCATCTCCCTCTTCGTTATACTGGTCCGCTGGATTGCTTTCGGCAGTCTATCAAAGCCGATGGCTTTCTAGGGCTATATCGTGGAATAAGTGCGCCGCTTTTCGGAGCCGCGGCTGAGACGAGCAGTCTCTTCTTCTTCGAGCGCATAGGGCGCGAGGTGGTATACGCGTCGGGATATTTTTCGCGCGATCGGGTGCTTCCGCTTTCGGCACTATGGTTTACTGGCGCTTTCGCGGGAGCATTCACATCTTTTGTTCTTACACCAATTGAACTTGTAAAATGCAAGATTCAAGTGCCCGCAACGACTAGTACAGATGGGGCAACGCCGAGGCCCCCCCGTATCATGTCGGTCGTTCGAGACGTATATAAGCACGAGGGCATAAAGGGCTTCTGGCATGGTCAAATGGGTACATTTCTCCGAGAATCTGGCGGCTGCGCAGCCTGGTTTGGTTCCAAAGAGACCACAACAAAAATGTTCTATCTCCTCAACGAGCAATCTGCTACGTCGCAAGCAGAGAAGGATATCCTGGCTACAGAGGCATTGCCGTTATGGCAACAAGCTGTTGCTGGCGCCTCTGCCGGTATGTCCTATAATTTCTTGTTCTTTCCCGCCGACACCGTCAAGTCTCGCATGCAGACCGCACCTGTTGGCCGGTCTACCCAGCCTAAGACGTTTTGGCAGGAGGGGAAGGCATTGTGGAATCAACACGGACTGCGCGGACTCTATCGTGGATGCGGCATTACAGTTCTGCGATCAGCACCGAGCTCGGCGTTCATCTTTATCGTTTTTGATGGCCTAAAACGGTATCTTCCGATGTGAATGATGCTTCGGATGACATTTTGGCCATATATCGATATATACCGACGTATGATAGAGAAGGTATAGACAGAGCGAACGTTAGGAGCACTGGCGTTTGGGCGTTATTATTCATAGTTGGTTGTCATAGATCTATTGAGCAGTGCCTCGTATATTTCACATACGATAGTGAGTACGGATGTTTCTACGTGAGCATGAATCTAGTTACAAGATCCAAACACGTCTCATAAGGATTGGCCTAAAGCAAATAAAACGTGTCCAATCTTCACTTATATCCTCTTCGCCAATGTTGCCTCCGAGATATCCCAATTGTTCAAATATCCAACGCCCGCTGTTAGGTACGTCGCAAAACCTAACCATACCATGTACGGCAGTTGACACCAGCCCGCTGTGCTATCAACTGAGAAGTACAGATATGTTAGGTAGCCGTTTAGTCCGACTAGTGATACAATGTCGGCTAACGCAAGAACTGGTTTTCGTAGCCCAAAGAAGAGAGGCATCCACAACAAGTTTAAGCCGAGTTGCGCGGAATATAGTGCGCGCACCTCGTCGGTCGAGGCGAAGGGAGATGGATACCTTGTCACGGCGCGGTGAGCTGCGTAGCCCATCAACCCGTAGAGTACTGTCCAGACAGGGCCGAAAACCTGTGGCGGAGGTCGTAACGGCGGCTGCTTCATGGCAGCATATGTGGCATGGGTTTGTTTTGCTGTATGTGGTCCTGTTAGCGGCACATATCCGAATAACCTGATACTTGGGAATATAAAGCACGTACGTCGAGAGCTGAAGCCTACAGTAGTACCCAGCGCAATAGGTAACAGTATCGAGGCCGCTGGGTTCGCGAATACATCATACGGTATTGCGTTGAGACGAGGAATATACGCCGTCATCTTGAGGAAAGTACCAGGTTCGTATACTATGCTGGAATATCGTAGGTATTAAGAGACTACTCGTTCCTTACGTGTCTATCTTCAACCTGGTGTGTCTAATTAAGATTCTAAGGTATGTGCACACAAGGCTCGCTTGTCGTATTAATGAGAAGCTTAAGCCTCAAAGGTGCAATGACGTAGGATATTTTTACGTCGGGTACATCCCTAGTTTAAGGTTAAAGTGGCTTCATCCTTAAGTCTAAAGCTAATGCAAAGCTTCTAACCGCCGATTTGCCATTGAAATATTTGAGTTGGTATCGACGCTAAAGTTTCTAATACGGCAACAGCTATGGTAGGTATGTGAGCTACCCGTTTCTCGGATTACATAGGTTAGGTACCTACCTAGGTACGCTGTGTGTTCCCCCGGATTTGTTACTACGGCAAATGAATATATCGGCGGAAGTCGCAAACTAAGCTGCACGGGAGGTAAATATCATCATATGCAGGATATATGCAGGTATCTAGTACCCAATGCTAACGACGGCAGGAACGAAACACCGGCAAATGTCAATTTACAACCGCCGCATCACTGCCGTAATTTGGGTTTATCGCACATATATACATACCTCTCCTAGGTACATGTAGTTCGCCGTTACAGGTACATAGGTTAAGTACTTACCTGTTATTCGTTACACCACGCGCTCCACTACCTATTAATTGCATTCGACGGCGCTTCTATCCCCAACTTTATTCGACACGTGCAGCGCGCCACAGCCGCTGACTAATACATATCTGACGCGCTTTCTTTTGTCGACATTCTCTGTCGCATGCCATCGGGGATTAGCCACATCCGCCCGTTGTTAGTTTGGTTGGTCCGCCGGATAGTTCTGGTTGGTCCCGTCGATCGTCCAAACATCCAACTTCTCTTCCCTCTACAAACAATCAGCGGACATCCAGCTTGGGACATCGCGCCCTCAGGAATCCTCCGCCATCGTCATTTATAGTTCGTCTATCCTTTCTTCTCACCACTTCCTTCTTATCAAATGGCCTTTTATTATAGCACCCCCATTGTTATCCCCCCGTTTTCCTCACGATCTCTTCCCCCTTTTAGAAACCTGTACACCTTGACCGAAGCTCATCTTCCTCTTACCATCATTCCGCTTTCCATGTCCACCCTCCAACAGCCGTGAACAAACTTTTTATGTCTTCCTTGCTCCCCAATTTACGGTTTGCTTATTGCAGAGCTCATGCTCCTGCCCATGCTCAGCTTCTCAATTTAGCTTGCCGATAAACATTATCTCGTGATCTTGCTAGACCAATACCTTTTATTCTTCTCATTGCTCACCCCCAAACATTATCAAGATGGTTTCTCTAACGGCAATCGCCTCGTCAAACAATAGGGAACAGATCCAACTCCAAATACAAGTAATCGGTATTACCTAACATCCGACAATTATCGCATATAGAAAACCAGCGTCTACGCCGTCGTCGTCGCCTTGTTAAAGGACATCAAGAACCCCTTTAATACAGCGCGAAACCGAGAATCTCGAAGCCAAGAATTGCCAATGCCAATTGTGTCGCAGTAAGCAGACAAGATGGACTCGTACTCGTATCGCGACGCTCCCGGTCGTTCTCCTCCCGATCGCGGTTGGAGTGGCCGTGATGATCGTGTCAAAGATGAGTCTCGCGACAGCTTCTACCGTGGTCGTTCACCTGGTGCGTTTACAATCACTTGCTGGTTTTTTTTCTTATTCATGCTACATCATATGCTAGTTGAACTATACTATGTCTTCGTTTCACATACTATTTCAAATGGCATTTTGTTCAAACTATATAGCTTCAAATTGGGACTGACTATAATAGGCCATGACCGCCCACGACGTAATCGATCGCGCTCCCCCCCACCAGTTGACCGCTACGAGCCCAGAGGACGTGGCCGAGAGGACCACACTAGGCCCCGTGACCAAGATGATAGACGACGCATTAATTCACCTCCGGCGAACATTGACCGTTATGTTCCCGGTCCAGGAGGCCCTCAGCCTCCTCAACCAACTGTGAACCCGTTGACAGATCCTGTCAGATTGCCTTTCCAAGTTGGATTCTCTTACTTTGGCGAATGGTGGCGAGCCAATGAAAAGATCAAAGAGGAGAAGGAGCGCGCCCGAACTGGTCGGAGACGCGACCCTGAACGACCTCGTAGAGACACGCAAGAAGATCGTGATAAAGAGAAGGCTAGAATCCAAGCTGCCTATGATGCATACAAGGAGGAGCTCCAAGCTAAGATGGCTAGAGCTTTCGTCGCCGAACATAAGAAGGAGCAATGGTTTCGCGAGCGTTACGTCCCCGAAGTCCGAGATCCCTTACGCAAGCAGATGAACGAATTCCGTCGCGGCGCGTATAGTCAATGGGAGCAGGATCTAGAGTCCGGCACGTTCGACGAGTTTTCTCTGGAGGGAATACCCAAGAGTGAAAGCAACGGGGCTGGTGGAGTTGTGGAAAAGGAAGAGGGTGAGGCCACGGCCGCCAACGAAGTTCTAGGAGTCGGCGATCTAGTTCCCGCAAACGGCAGCGATCTCCGGGACGAAAACTTATATCAGCCTACTCTCTTGATCAAGACAATTGCTCCTCACGTTAGCCGCCAAAATCTAGAAACTTTCTGCAAAGAGCATCTTGGAGAGGAGGAGGGTGGATTCAAGTGGCTATCCCTCAGCGATCCTAATCCCAGCAAAAGATACCATCGTATGGGCTGGGTAATGCTACATCCTTCATCCGAGACGGCAGCACCTGTTGATCGTGCGGATCCGAAGGACGAAGAGGAAGACGAGATGAAGGTCGAATCACCCGTAGCTACCACTACAGCTGACAAGGCCCTTGAGGCTATTAACGGTAAGACTGTCAAGGATGAAGTTCGTGGTGACTTTGTGTGTCATGTGGGTGTTCACAACCCCCCAAGCAATCCTCGCAAGAAGGCATTGTGGGATCTCTTCTCTGCTCCTGAAAGAATCGAGAAAGATCTCGGCCTTGCTCAGCGACTCGTCAATAAGTTCGAGGAGGATTTCGGTTCAGATTTCAATGCCACACTTAGGATTGAAGAAAGAGTAGAAACCTTACGCAGCGCTGGAAGTTTACAGCCAGCTATATCATCACCGACAGCAAAGAGGGTTAAGAAGGATCGTAATCTTGACTTTGATGAGGCAATGGATGATGGTGAAGAAGGTGAAATGGGCGAGTCTGACGAAGAGGGTGCCATAGATGATGAAGTCGACGACGAAGACATTCTGGTAAAGAAGAAGCAGCTCGATCTTATGATTGAGTATCTTCGCCGAGTCTTCAACTTCTGCTTCTTCTGTGTTTTTGAGAGCGACTCTATTCACGAATTGACACGAAAGTGTCCTGGTGGCCATCTTCGTCGACCCCGAAGCACACTCTCTTCCGCTGCTAAGAATGTTGCACGGGCCAGTGCCAGTGGAGAAGCATTTCCTTCTAAGAAACCTAAGGAATCGAAGGAGGAGGAAGAAGAAGGCGAAGCGCCTGAGCCTGATCGCAAATTCCGTAACGCATCTTCTAAATCTGAGCAGCAGCTTGAGCGTGCGTACAAGTGGGTTAAGACTTTTGAGGACAAGATTATGCAAATCCTCGAGCCTGAATCAGTAGACATTCGTAAACTCGGCGGTAAATCTACCGAGGATGCCCTCAATGACGAACTCTCCAAATTCGTCAAGCAAGAAGATGAGCACAAATGGAGATGCAAGGTTCCCGAGTGCACGAAGCTCTTCAAAGAGGATCACTTTTGGAAGAAGCACGTGGAGAAGCGCCATGCTGATTGGCTAGAGGTTATGAAGCAGGAGGTAATACACATTCAGTACTGTTCGATGATAAAAGAGCCGCAACTAACCATGAATTTAGTTTGACCTTATCAACGCATATGTTCTTGATCCTGCTCACATTGCGCCTTCGAGGACTGATGCCAATAGCAATGGCCATTTCCCGCCCTCCAATGGTCAAACTCAACAGGGTACTCCCCGCGGATTTAATCTCCAGAATTTCGCCATGAACAATATGGTTCCACAGTTCCCCGGCTTTCCCAGCATTCCTGGGATGCCTCCGCTGTTCACGGGTAATCACAGTGTCCAACCCCCCGGATGGGCTGCAGGAGGCGAGGAACGTGGTACTGGCCCTATCCGTCGTGGCGGTGCTAATTCCGGACGTTTTCAAAACCGCACCGGCCCGTATGACAGGCGTCAACAACAGGGACGTTGGGGCCAGGATGGACAGGGTGCAGGCCGCGGTAGGGGTGGAGCCGGTCGCTGGGGCGATGGTGCCGCAGGCGGAGCAGCCGTCGGTCCTCGTGAAGCCGTTCAAGGCCGTAGCCTCAAGAGCTACGAAGATCTCGACCACGTCGCAGGTGGAGGCGGTGGTGAACTGAACTACTAAACTCTCAACTCCCCAACAATTACCTGGGTTGAGTACGAGGTTGATAACCTCGCGCCCATTATGCTTTACTAATCTGTAGGAAGCCAGGTTTGCCTCTAAAAAGTCAAGCTCACTTGCTATTTATTGTACCATCAGATGAAATTCGATGGGCATCGGATCGTTTTCCTTTCTCTTGTGACAAAATACTGACAATGCACCCACTACCTTATTGTCTCCATCGACAAGGCAATCTAGCCTAATGCCTTACGGTCTATTCAGTGTTCACCACACCCTCTCTCTGAAGGTGAAAAGACGATCGCCTAATTTGCCATTTACGACGACGGTCACTTGACATTCCTGGAAGGAAGAAACGGACTCTGGCATATTACGATTACGGCATCCCCTTGTTGAGACAACCCGATAGTTTATCTAGATAGCTAGATATTCGCTTTTAGATTATTCACGTAATGAATTGTACAGTACACACGCATTATTGCAAACTTGTTGAATTCTCTGGCTGTGCCTTTTTATATTTGTGCTGTGTTTGAACTGAGCCTACTAACTACCTACTTACCACTGCTAACCTACACTTTGGAAGATGAGTGGGAGAGTTTAGTAAGGCTCGTGCTCATACATGCTGCTGCTACATTACGATGGTGGTGTAAGCTTGGTGTGTTGTGCATTTAGATATATTCATCTCTAAGTTATTTTGATATCTCGATTTCAGCAGTCCTCTCTTAGAGACGTTTTATTCCCAGACGGCAATGCCTTTACAGCCTGTATTCCTACGCAGATACCATATGCAGCCAAGCTACAGTTACGTACCTTAGCTATATAATTCCTCTCAGCACGTGGATTGTCGGCAATCCCGCATGCGGAGTACATCACAGGATCGAAGCTGCTACGACTTTTCCCTCCGGTCTATTCGTATAACGAGGGCATCGGATTCTTAAAGGTCAGTTAGTTAGTTAGTTAGTTAGTTAGTTAGTGTGTAGGTACTGCATATCTTTAGCTATTTTCGACGAGATAACCTACTTGACCTACAGGTTCTCCCTTTCGCTGGCGGGTCTATTTTCTACCAATACCATGTTATAGACTAGACGCGCGGAGTAGCGGTCAGGAGAGATGGGAGAGCAGGTAAGGTAAGTAACTACCTATTTGCTTACCCCAGGTACCTCATATACCGACACGTACGTCGAGCTCATAGACGGACTCGTGGATGGTCGAAGGAGCAAGCTATATTCTTGGTATTGGTATGACATGCAGAGCGTCCAAGTAGCGGTCAGTCGGTAGTAGGAAGTACAGTCGCATGGCAGATCCTCCGGCGATGTGAATTTATTGTTCTCCGGCATGGTTGTCGGCGAGCAGAGGAGCGAGCGAACGAGCGGGTGGGTGGATTGATATTTCGGACACGTGCGGCGCGGCGAGATAGTGCATATGTAGGTAGGTAGTTAATAGGCTATATAACTAAACATATTATGTATATGCGTACCTAAAGTATGCATCTCGAATCGCCGAGGTCCTATAATACTCCGAGCATGCAGTGCCTTAACATGTACCTAAGTAAGGTATCAAGACTTACTTACTTGCGATGGAGCGCGGTACGTCGCATATATCACAAACGTAGTGTAACACGCGGGAGGCAGTGTCTGCCTATGTCCATGTGTATCCAATATATATAAGAACAGCGCTGAGAGATTATACCAAATGGCGCTTTCCCCTAATAAAAAGGGGGGATGGTTGGCCGGGTATGGCCGAGACATTACTATATACGCTTACTATCCCCCCGCTCCCCCATCCGTGCGATACGACTTTGCAGGACCTCCTCTATTGGCAGCAATGCCGGAGTCCGACGTCGCACGGCGACACAGAGGGGAAATGGGTACCCAAAATCGAAGCCCGTGGCTTATAAATATATTCGGTCGCCGACCCGGGCTGAGCATTATCGCCCGACTACCTACTTCACATACCCACCACATTCGTGATATCCCGTCTTTGGTTCGACCGTCTTGTGAGTATCGCTGATCTCTTTACGTATGTATCTTCATGATCCCCTGCTCAATAAGACGAATACTCAACGTGCGCTACGCCGTTCTTCTCTAAATCCGGGCTTTATTGAGTAGGTACTGGTTGTAGAGTTGTTCCCCTTACCCTCCTCTTAGATGAACTATACTAGCCTTGATAGATTGACTCGCTCACCTTTCGGGAATAAGCGAGCTAAATCAGTTGCCTGGCTGTTACCAATGAGTAGGAGCGTAGTAGATGAAACTACAACGCGAAGCAATCACTAGTACCCATGCTTGCAACCAAGGTTCCTAACCTATCGGATAGTCTATTCCGAGGGAATATGACCCTCACAGAAGGACACGACTCTTGAATGGTTGGATTACCCTATGATCGCGGCGACGCCTGCTCCTCCAGCAAACATAGCAGCTACAGTGACAAAGCTTGAGATGGAGAGAAGCGATATGCCGGAAATCCCATGACCGGACGTGCAGCCGCCTGCCATTCTCGACCCGACTGCGAGGAGCATGCCACCAAGAATTGCTCTAATGGGCTCGATAGTGATGTCGGATGTCACACGTGTCGTCGGTGATGCCAGAGAAATGGCTAGTGCCCCTGTGATCATACCTGTAGCGAGCGCAATAGCGCTGTGTGACTTCGGCATATCTCTTTGCCCTGCTGCCCACCAGAAATAGTCGCCGACTTCCTCGAAAGAGCTTGAAGTTCCTAGAAGAGACTTTCGTGTCACGATGGAAACCGTTTGGGCACCCGCAATCAAGATACCACCTGTGACTGGACCTACCAACCCGCCGGATTCAGGGGAAGCAAGATAGACTATCGTTGCAACGGCACTCGCAAACAAGGTCTCTACCACAACAAGTACGCCCAGGTGGCTTGTACCTATCCACTTGTCTAAAGTTAAGTGGTAGTGGCCTTTACCATCCGATGACTCTGTACTTGACTTCGCCCTGTTGCGAAAAGCCGGCCGCAGGAAACCCGACCAGATTATGCCACCAAGTATCCCTCCGCCGAGCGTATAGAGGCCAGAGCGGATACCATCCCCTACTTGCGCAAAGACGGTCCCCGGGCAGGAACCAGAAACGGTCAAGCCAGCACCCAAAATCAAACCCCCTATTATGTTTCCATCAAGAGCACCAAATATGCCAAGTGTCGAATAGTCTCGCGGATTCAAGCGGAGATAACCTAGCTGTTGTAACGCGTGGACAAGGAGACTATTTTAGCGGTTAGCCATTTCTTACACCACGCCCTTGAGAAAGTAACGATGATGTTTTATCACGGAAAAATATATTCTTACGTGCTGGTACCGGAAGCTGTTAGGAATGTAACAACCATGTGCCAGTTCTGAAAGGTCATTTGCTCGACGATGACGTTCGGTGGGTGAATCGCCGCTGCTGTTAGAGCAGCACCGAAGGCGACGCCAGATATGAAAGGTTTGGACATGTTCTCAGATACCAGCGTGTAACGTCTTCGATGCAGAACAAGTTGCTATAGTAGGAATAGTTGGAAAGGGTGGGCGAAGAATCGTCAGTGGCGAATTTGAACTTGAAAAGCTCGATAGTATGTTATTATATTCGAGTCATATTGTATAGTTGAGTCGGCGACTCTAGTCCATTCAAAGCTTTGTTTCCATCAAAGACCCTTCTCCGTTTAATCTAGACATCCTAGAAAAGGACCCGCAACGGATGTAGAGATGGGTACGCAAACAACATGGTGACCTAGCAGCCTTAGGGAACTTTCCCTTATTTCCCATATCCATGTCCTCCCGCTGCACGAGTCCCATGGTCAATTTCAACGGTCGGCGACGCTAGTGTAGCAGCATCTATTGCATATCGACATATAATTCCATGCTATATTGGTGCCATATTGACCTCCTATTTTCCTCTATACGTTCTGACTGGATAGTTACTTCCCTGGATGCTATCAGTCGAGAGTCCTATGTTCCCTCTTCAGACTCGAGGATGGCACGTTATGCGCAGGGGGGGGGGTGAACGGATGGTTGCACGCGGGGACTTCTACACGACTTCGAAATCCTCCTCGAATTATTTAATCCATGTTTCGAGAACGTTATTGTGAAACGCTAAGATTTTAGCCCGAGGACCCGGAATTTGGCTCAAGGCTGATGAGTAGGTATATACGTATTAGTGTATATACTGTAGTAGACGGCGATCACTAGGAGTTAAGGGTATCGGGGATCTCGCATGGATCTTATCCGTGCGCCTCGCCGAAGTGAGTGGGGATATCGGCTCAGAATTATGGGCCTTTAGCCTTGGATCGAATTATGGATCTCAAGTTCCCAGGTGGTGGACTTGTTAATTAGTCTTCTTCGTCTAATTCATCTATAACATAGGTATGTAACCTACATATGTCTACCGTCTTCGCGGATATGTTCGTAGCTTTGCGTGAGAGTTGAATGAGTTTTCGCCAAGCTTAGTTTGCTAACTCTTAGATCATCGACCGTCGGTATTATGCAACCTTTGGAGTCAAACTAACGAACCCAAAGACTCGGAACCGTGATTGATATTGCAGGATACACGTGCTTGTCTCGGTCGCATTAAGATAGTAAAGCCCGACTATGTAGAGCGTCTGGTTACGGACGTCACGTCTCGCCTATTTCTGGAAATAGAACGTTGAGAAGACTTGGCAGCAAGATAGAACAATGCCACGGTATTTGGTATTGACGATCACTACCATAGCTAGGCCTGAAGAAATGAATGTTAGCCACACAGGGTTAGAGGGTTTAATCAAGGAGCCATGGCCGTTTTCGGACCTCGAGCCGAATGCGAATTCCAGGATATGGACACGATGTCTTTGTTTTTACAGGAACGAAGTCTAATCCGATTAAGAAAAAGGCAAGTTTCATATGAACCTAGGAGGTACCTAAAGTAATATCTTCTTTCTATGTACATAGGTGCTCCTTCCAGCTTCGAACATCTCGATATACCCAGCAGGTACGATGGAAAGCAAAGCTCCTATAGAAAGCGCTAAGTACCTAGGTTGCCTATATATATGTACCTACCTGCCTCTTATATCTGAAATAACCTTATTTTACCCCACCAAAATTACGTAGCTCAGACTAGACACGCATATAGGTATCTATAGAATTGCGGGTGTTTATTTATACCTAGGTAGGCTGGCGGTACCGAGGTTTTATAGCACCCCGCGGGGAAAGATTAGCCCAATATCGTAAATGACGTCCCAGAGCTGACAAATTAGAGCCTTAGAATATAGCAGCTCTTAACCCGATTAGATGCACCCTTACCTACCTAAGGTAGCTCTATAGACCTCCTTCTAGGTTATAGCTTACTCATACAATATATAACTATAACTATTGCCAATTACCAATAACCTTAGCACTTATAGAAAGCACAACTCCCAATGTCCGCCCTTACGTCGATGTAGCATCTCTCGATTTATTTGAATTGCAGTATCCATGATAGTAGCCACCACCATTGTAATCGTACAGCCAGCCACTAACAAAATCCCGCCCAAGATGCCACAGGCTCTCACCATCAAGAAAGTCGACGGCAAGCCCGGCCAAGTCTATTACCCGTAATCCCCCCCCCCCCTTTTTTTTTTTCCCCCTCCATTCCCTCACACCACCACACCACACCACACACCAAACTAACACCCCTCCCAGCCTCCAAATCGTCCAAGTCCCCAAGCCCAAACCCGGCCCCAACGAGGTCCTAGTCCGGATCCACACCGCGGCCCTCAACCACCGCGACTTCTTCATCCGGCAACACCTCTACCCCGCCATATCCTTCACCAACCCCCTCCTCGCAGACGGTTTCGGCACCGTCGTCGAGTCCGGCCCCGGCCCACAATCCGCCCCCCTCCTCGGCAAGCAAGTCGTCCTGACCCCGTCCCGCGGCTGGGCCAGCTCGCCCGCGGGCCCCGAGGACCCGAGCAGGTTTAGCGTCATAGGCGGCACCACGCTGTACGCCGCCGGCACCGGCCAGGACTACGTCCTCGTGCCCGCCGACGAAGTCGAGCTCGCCCCGCCGCACCTGTCCGCCCCCGAAGCCGCCGCCTTCCCGCTCGTCGGGCTGACCGCCTGGCGCGCCCTCGTGACCAAGGGCTTCGCCGGCGACGCGAGCCGCCACGTCGCCGCCGGCCGGAACGTCCTCGTCACCGGCATCGGCGGCGGCGTCGCGCTCTGCACCCTGCAGTTTGCCACCGCGCTCGGCTGCAACGTCTACGTGACGTCGGGCGACGCCTCGAAGCTGGAGCGCGCGCGCGCCCTGGGCGCCAAGGGCGGCGTGTCGTACAAGGAACCGGGGTGGGAGAAGCAGCTGGCAACGCTGCTGCCCGCGTCGCGGCCGTACTTGGATCTGGTCGTCGACGGCGCGGGAGGGGATGTTGTGGCCAAGACGGTGCGGCTGTTGAAGGCGGGGGGTGTGATATCGATCTACGGGATGACCGTCGGGCCTAAGATGGACTGGCTGATGCAGGCCGTTATGAAGAACGTCGATCTCCGGGGCACGACGATGGGGTCGCGCGCCGAGTTTCGGGACATGGTGGAATTCGTACGGAAGCACCAGATACGACCTGTTGTGAGCCGTGTAGTCAAAGGCCTCGACAACTTAAAGGCTCTCGATGATCTATTCGAGGACATAAGACATGGGAAGCAGTTTGGTAAACTTGTCATAGAAATATCCTCGCCCGATGAAGAGGCGGGCTCTAAACTATAAATCAAAGCCTGGGTTATCAAGTCAACGCGTTGCAATAATTAACAGTATTTCTCTCCTAAGAGAATCGTACAGGATCACATCCAGTGATCCGAGTAGCCAAACCATAGTAGCTAAGTTTTAGAGGTGCGAATTACATGCATATTTTTGTAATCATTGTTTTAATTTGTGCTATCCCTGTTTTCAGTCTCCGCCCGCCCGTTCCGCGTACCAACAGACGCTGGGGCTATTTCGCCAGGGTGGCTCATAAATAGTAATACAGTGACATGACATTCTCCAGGCCTGTGGTTATCGGAGACCACAACGTACAAAGCCAATCCCGGGTTCTGTAGGACCCTCGAGCCACAAAGTTCTGTCCTCGTTCCTAGACTCTCATCTCCTTTGCTCCTAGTATCTAGGCTTTATCCCTATTAGACACAGGGTCAAAAAGATCCCTCTCGCCAAACGCCGGCCGCCTTTCCTGTCATCACTGACGTACCGAAACCAAACCATGCTAGTACGTAAATAGGGTCCCGAGAAGAAAATAGTAGATTATTGGTCTTATCATGCCTCCTCATCTGATCGGCCTTGGCCCTGCCCGCCACCGCCCTTTAGGTTCGGGGAGAGACTGATAGCAATCTTCCTTGGTGCGTTTGCCGCTTCCCTGGCACCCGAGATACTCCTCTTCTTGCGAAGAACTCCGGATACGCCCGACGCGCTGGAACTAGCGGTCGAGCTATTTCGACGTTTGTGTTGGACCATCTTACTCAGGTCATCTTCCTCGTCTTCTTCGCGTCGGCGTTTCTCGGACAGGCGTTCTGGTGGAGGCGCAACATCTCCAGAATTATCATCTGTTTTCTTGGACCCGTCATCTTGTCTGTCCTCGTCAGCCGAGAGCGCCCCGGCATCCAAGTTCTCATCGCCCTCCTCGTCGGAGGCATAATCAACCAGGGGTTTTGCGTTTGATTCTCCATTTGTGCATGTCGTTCGATTTCCTGGTTTCGTCTGCATGTCTTCTTCGTCGTCAGACGTGTTCCAATACTCTTCCTCGGCCTGGTCCATAGCAATGTGTTCCATTAACGCTCCGGTCTTAGGGTTAATTATGTTTGCCCGTCTTCTCGGCTCGTCGTCCACTTCTATGAAGTAGTCCATATTAGCACTGAATCCCCCAGTCTGATCGTATCGCGTAATCAAGGTCCTAAAGAGATCCATGTAGGTAAGCCTCTGAACCTTGTCTCGGTAGTTCTCAACAATATGCTTGACTAAGTCCTTGACATTTTCTTTCCTGACGAATTCGAAGAATTCCAAACATGCAGAACTAAGTAAATTGTCTCTTGGCATAGTTTCAATGAGGACGTCGAGGACTGGACCGATAACCTTCTTTTCTGACACATGTTTTACGTAGAATTCGTCTTGTAGGCCAATTAGCTGTCGAAGGAACCGGATAGCAACTAAAAGAGGGTTAGCATCCCCAAGACAAATACGTGGTATCTAAGAAACTCACTAAGTTTTAGGAATTTCTCCGGGCAACTCAGAAGTTGGCTGATGCGGGAAACGATGTCGTTATTCAAGACGAAGAATTTGCTGCGGTGTTGATGTTGACGGATGAAGAAACAGAGAATTTCGATAAGATATGTGAAGATAGAGGCCTGCTGAACTGAAAACTCCATGTTTGTTCGACCCTCTAGGTTTATTAGGGGTTGGAATAGTCTCGAGGCTGACCTCTCGTAGAAGGTGTTGAGAAAATTATCCTGCTGCGGGTCTGCGCTTGGCGGTATTCTGGATGCGGCTCGAACACCATACTCGCCATTGGCCTTCGTAAACGCCTCCTGTTGTACTGGCGGACCTTGGTCAAGCAGTACCTTTAGAGCATCGGATATCTGCGACTTAACCCCTAAATCAACTTCGACCAAGAGCAAGTCGATAAGCGAGTCCGTCAAAGGTGGCTGTTTCTCTTGAAGCTGCCGGTATATCATAGCCCTTATCATCTGCGGGTCGTGATCGATCATAGACACCAGAATATCAGTCGCACCAACTCTCACTGCTACATCGCCGTGTCGCAGGCCAAAGTTAATGACTTGAAGAAGGCCATTAGCGAGAAAGTTGTTGTACAGAGTCTGGCGAGCTGGCGGCTGTAAGTTTTTAGCAATGGCGCAACATTGCTGTATGAATAGCACTGCCTCCTTCTTACGCCTGGGGTCGGTTTGAGGGGACTTGAATATATTAAATAGCTCGGCAAGGAAAGCCGCATTCGACTGGAGATGTTGTACGATATCGACCTGATTGAAGAAGATAAGTGAGTTCAATACCGAGAAGGTGTTATCGTCCAGAATACGCGCTAGGACGACATCCTTCAAATACTGAAGCCGATACGTTTGATGTATCTTCTTTAGTATCTGGATGTCCTCGATTTGCACAACCTCCTTAAAGCGGCCCTCCCCTTCCAACCATTGCCGATGATTGGCCTTGTGGCTCGGGAAATCCGGATCATATTCCAACGCGCCGACAACGCCGATTACACTTTCGTCCGATACGGCGTGCTCTATAATGCTAGTATCGTTGAGAAGAATAATAATCTTCATAATATTGCAAAGGCGATGCAAATCGTTGAGGCTTTCGAGATCCTCCGCGTCGGAAACCAGGGGGATCAGCTTGCCGATATAATCTTCTGCCAGGACGTATTTGGTGAGAGCATCGCGGCCATTTATCGTCCCACTAAGTCCACGCATTTGCGATTCTATTTCGGCGAGGTTTGCCATGGAAGCCGGGGGGAGAGAAATCGGGTTTAGGCCGTCCATGGCGAGATCATCAGATAGGCTGTCGTCTACGCGAGACTAGATTAGCGATCTATTAGTGAATAGAGGCGAATCAATGTATATATATATACCTGGCGCATTCACGGACTGATATTGCTGCTGGATACTATTAATGAACTTCCTACAATATGTTTAGTCACTATTTTCCTCCATGGATATATCAGAAGCAAGTGCTTGCAGTTAGCCATACCATATCATGGCGCAGCCTTCAGCTTCCTGAAAGCTGAGAGCCATGTCGACGCCATTGGTAGGTTCGGTCCAGACAATCAGGGTTTCTAAAGAGATAACTGTCAATAATCATGCACCTCGTAGCAAGTTTTTATGTTGAGCCATTAGCGTACCCTGCTGTTTGTGGAAGCCATCTTCCTTACAAATTCTCGTCTCCAGCAATACGCGATCCGGTTGGTCTTCAGACTCGACAATTACTCGTGGATCTCTTTGGTGGCCATCTTCGGACTAGAGGCAATGACGATCAGCATGTTAGCAACGATAGAATACAGGAGACAGGAAAGAAAGCCGATGCGATGGAACAGCAATGTTGGCGCAAAGCGCGTCGCGAGTTGAGAGATGCTTACAATATTGAGAGCAGCGGTGCAAAAGCCTGTACCCCGATCGAACCAGTCATTATTGCGCAGCTCGTAGACCTTTACTCGTTTCTTATCCGTCGACGGATGAGGCACAGGCTGTGCCGCCATCGTCAACGGTACGTCAGATTCGACGTCGACAGCCAGACGATTATACTGCAGAAGATCTGGTGCAAGATCTAAATGTTGTTGAAGAGATAATTCGGTGTCGGCCTGGCTGAGGAGGGTAAGCGCTGCCACTTTTTCCTCAAGATAGGCGCGCTAATTGACGGGCGCGCACGCGACAAATCTATGCTCGGAGGGGGATGGCAAGGTGAAGACGGAACTATCAAATTAAAAAAGGGACGCGGGGGCCGAAAATGAAAGCAAGGCGTAACGGACGATTGATTAGGAACAAGCAAAGATGGGGCTTTGTGGCTCGTGGTGGGTTGGATGGTTGGATGGGTGGATGGTGGACAGCGGATGATGAATATGGTTTGAGACGATATGAGGCGACGTGAGATGGAGATGTGAATGTCGAGAAAGCGTCGGGCTACCTAGTGTAGACAAGGCAGCCAGGTTAGGATTATCCTCCCCGTGCGACAGGGTCTAGATTGGTTTCGCCTAGGGTGGGTGGGGAGGGACCTCTTTTTTGCTTTGGGGGGAAGGGACGTGCCCAGATTGGACTGTGACGTATTTTTTAGTTTTTAGTTTTTTTGGGTGAGGCGCCAGAGACAAGACGGAAATTGCGACAACGGGAGTTATAGAAATGATGATCAGATTATAATAATCAAGTCAAAATAAGAATCAGACAAAAATGCAGAAAGACAGAATATTATCAATAATCCCAAGTTTCAACGTATACATGTCTACATATCCGTTACATGAAGGAAGGTATCAAAAATACGACCTGCGGTAACGGTAAATGCTGCTGTTGTTTTTAAAGTCGGGATTTTTTGGAGCTTTCGGACTGCTGCTTGAATATGTACATACATACCACCTATGACATGGTCCGTGCATGGTGGAACAGCAGGGGGCATACTGGGAAATTGGGTACCCAAATACCTAAATATCTTGGCAGAGGGGCGCTTAACAAGCTACCTAGGTACCTAGGTACTACATGTATAAATATGTACCTGACCTACCTATACCCGACTGCAGGTAGGCAAGTATTGTACCTATTGATAGAATATAGCGTGGATTAGGTAAGATATAATGACTTAAATGCGCCACACATATCGAAACAGGTGTATACTCTTACCTCTTTACATCTTCATAGGTGCTTTTCAACTAACTCTTTAAATCTCAAAACCCTCCATAATTTTCGTCGCCTAGCGTGGCTAATTTGATCGACGGCAATGTTCATGCACAATTATTCAACACATAACGCTAATTCTGCCCAGTTATTATTCTATCTTATGTGACGCTTTGCCCAAGACACATGGACATGCAATACTCAAGTTTCTAAATTTGGAACTAGGTATCCAAAGAAGTTCAATATCCCTTGTCAAGTCCAACTAAACGTATAATATAACAAACTGGCAACTAACGATATCATAACCTCTCCGTCTGTATTAGAATAGAAACCTGTTGTGTGGAGCTCTGGGTTTTAACAGGAAAGTATCTTGGCTTGAATGCTTGGGCCAATTCTGTCGTAAATCCCAATGTCTGTTATTGTTTGGCCGGTTCAGGCGACAGGTCCGAAGTTGCTGTGTCACCATATCGATTAATGTCAAAAACTCCCGCCACGAACTTTGTTGGAATTTCATTTGCTCCCTTCCCTCCATCATCAAGACGCGTAACACGCCCAAAAATCTGTGATATGCCTCGTCTGGCCCCCTTAAGTTTGATTTCATAGAGTTTGCGAATTGAACTCTTTGGTTTTGCCTTGCTTGGATGGATAACTGAGTACTGCGGCGCATTTCGTTCAAGTGATCTCTGGTCCCCGCCCGCATCAACGCCTCCCGCCAATGAATATAACGGTTAATAAAGTCTATCGACCACCTGAATACCTCTCTAATGGCCCCTGGGAGATTGGTCCAGTTCGCAAGATAAACTAGATAACAACATTAGAACTAAGTCGAAATATGGAGGTGGTCATGAATTTACGTACCCAATCGCCGACCCTCCCTAACACCTAGCCGGTAAACATCGAAAAATAATGCTCTGTGAACAGGTATAAACCACTTTGACTCAGCTAGTAGACAGTCGTCCTGCAACGAGGAAGTGTGAACTATCTCGTTGGCGTGATCTCCGGCCTCTCTAAAAGCCCTCTGGTCTGCTCTCATCCAGTGGTCTGGGTCGTCACGCAGATAATGATTCAAGTATCGGTAACGAACTTCAGCCCACCTATCAGCCCATCCCAAGACACGGGCCAGCGTGTGTGCTTTAGTCTCGTCGTCTCTCAGAATTCGCCCTCGAAAGTGCTCGTAGAACATATGCGTTATCCAGTCTTCAAGATTGTTTGGGTTGTCCCAGACCACCCTCGCCAGCTCAATAACAGCGTCCCATTCAGCTATAAGAGCTGCCGCGTTATCATTTCCTTGTAGCCTGGTTTCTGATATCCCAGCGTTTGATACCACGTAGTCCTTCCCAAGGTTTTGCCTACTTGTGAAGGCATTTCGAACAAGAGGCCCAACGTCCTGATCTTCGCTTATACCCTTCAGGTACAAGAGCAGGTTATAGCGATTCGCAGGTTGTGGTGGGCCTATTTTCCCTGCTCCTGCAGATGCTTTCCAGCGTGAACCGTCTGCTAGCAAAAATCGTGAACTAGGCCGCGGGCCATAGTCGACTACATGTCTAAAAATTACATTAGCCTATATACAACTATGATAGTGAAGGATTGACTTACGTTGTCTTACTAAGTGGAGGCGGCCGTTCCATCTTGATAATGTTCCCTCGAGATCTCTATAATGCTACAAGGCGAACTTAAAGGCCAATGTAGGGTCGTGAGAAGTTCGTAAATACTAACAAAAGGAGCATGTTGCAAAGATGGAGGGACTCGAGATTTAGAGCTACTTTGAATATTCTATATGCACAAAGGGGCACTATCGAATTGTCCGCAATGATAGCGAGGTGTCGCATTTGGTTAGTCTTATTGTCTAAACATCCGCATTTGGTACAACATTCTTTTATAAGGAAATGCTGCTGATCTTCCCCGAAAGTAGAATATCAGAAGTTGAAGGAAATGGCATAAGTAGTTGCGGTAGTTGCAGCTATAAAGCATATTGCGGGATACGTGATATTATAGACTTAGCTTTGCTTTAAGTGATGGCATAGAACCAACTACCTATCTCAGCCGGAAGGAGTCGGCCCCCCCTTTCTATGGTGTAAATATCAATTTGGTATAACGTCTCAAGAAACTGAATTAGCAAGTATTCTCATGTTCTTTCAGGGAACATTGGTCGAATAAGGCTTTTAACATATACCATGCCTTGTTACACAATATTAAACCCTCCGAAAACTAGATCCTTCTTTAAAGCTTGAGCCGTTTCTAATTGGGTAAATAGGTATTTTAAGCATGCGTTATCTTATTTATATATGAGGCAAATTCGACGTTGTTCAATATATCAATATTAGGTTAGGTAGTTTATTAAGTATCTGCCCAAATTGGTTTCTGAAAACTATCCTACTTAGAATCCTTATAACTAAGATACGAATAATAAAGTATAGGCATTGATATTTAGATCTATACAAATCGTGTGACACTCTTTTGAAGACAAGTGTTTCTATACCTAATACATGTAGTGTCTGTAACTGTGGGGTTAGAATACCTCGATTATCTACCTAACATAAGGTATTTTGCATTTATGTGTAGATACCTACATGAAGGTACCTTGCATGCATCTGAATATGTACAGGTACCTTAGGTACTTACACCCCACTCCTATTCAACGCCTCATCTCCTTATTATTCAACTTTTAAAGTGATAACTTCAGCTTCGCTTGACCTTTGAGAATTGTTACTCATAAGCTCCAGTTCCATTATCGTCGATTATCACATTGCTACTTAACCGTGATCAGTAGTAATACTGGTTGGGGGCTGATTAGTTCGCTAATATGCTTGCCAATGTGTCATTGAAACATTGGAGGCATTTTGCGAACCCACGAGTCTGGATATATATCGTCATGCTTGAAGTGACTGCATAAGGTGAGTGGAGTTATAGATCATATAGTACAGGAAAGCCAATAGATGCCTACTTCTGTACTCTTGCAGCATAGTTCCTCCGAGGCGGTGGCCGAAATACGAACTCTGGGTCGTCTATGCATACCTACTGTACCTAAGGTATCTATCGCCGCACATGGAAATCTCGTCGATGCGACCTCGCATGATAAGAAAATAAGCTCTGTATCGTTGGAGTAGCGATAAAGATTTACTTCGCTCTTTAAACGCCTTCTCCTCTTCCTTGGCTCTAACTTTGGGTGTACTCACCTAAAATAGCTTCCACCTCTGCAAGGTTCAAGGACAAGCTCTTATCTCTCATATCATCTTCCATATTATAGGAAGTTCATACGAATTCTACTCATCGCCGTCGTAGCTTCCGATGTTCCATTCCCTATTACCTATTATTTACACTCTTTCCCTCCAACGCTTGTTATTAGACTTATTCTTTTTTAACTATGTTTTATATATGACCAGACAATCTTAGGTCTTATTCGTCCTATGATTCCCAACATTCGCTACGGAATCATCATATTATCTATAGTGTTCTCCGACTACTACTCTGACCTGCCTATTTACCTTAGATGACGGCCGTTGTCAAATTATATATGATCCAAGGTCCCGCTAGTAAGACGATAACCGAAGCTAATGTTGACATAACCCCGTCTACGTTTGCGAATCTGGGGACTACATATACGTTGCTTCAATCCGATAATCCTTAAGACAATCCGGATTAGCCATGTCTCTATTTTCAAGGCTGAAGCGACGTCGGGTACAAGCCAAAGATAAAAATTCGAAGAATGATGGGAATGTGAAAGAGAAGGCGAAGGAAGAACCTGCCAAGGTGCCTTACAAGCATGTAGTTATGCATGCTGCTAGCGATATGTTATTAGTAGCACCCGCAAGTGCGAGAGAGGAAGACAACGCCAGGGTAATCGAGCTGAACAAGCAAAACATCGCCAAGGCAAGATCGGAATGTAAGGCGGCCGGCATGCCACGGGTTCGAGACTCGCTATCCATCTATAAGACCCCTATCTTTCCTCTACCAAAAAACTACAAACCCTACAGCGTAGACGACAGGCCCAAGCTCACATACTACCCCCCGCAGCTAGCTGGCTCCCAGAAAGGACCCGATAACTCGAGTCGCCCGGAAAGTTTAAGAAGCGTAGGAAGTAGGAGAAGCGGGATAAGCGGCAAGGGGAAAGAACCGGAATACATACGATCCCCTCTATCTCTACCACCGGTTCCGAGATTATCCCATGAACAGTCTAGTACCATCACATCGAGTAAAGGTAGAAACCCTATGCCACGGTATACATTATATTCGCTCTAATCGTTACATAGATGCGCCTCTTGAGGAAACATCGGCAATATCAAGTACCCCCAATGATGAATCTAGGATAAACAACAAGGCCGTCAACCGCCTTTCGCACTCTTCTAGCTATCAGCCAAGCATTTCTCAGAAAAGTCTCTCGTTTAGCGAGAAGTCGTATCAAACGCCTTTCACTATCTCTCAAACAACCGTCGGGGCACCTGTGAAGAGTGATCGGTACTATCCGCCCCCGACAAAAAGTGCCTATTTTTCAGCATCTCATACCGCGAACCAGGGGATCGAGAATAAACCGAATAGACAGGAAAATAAAAATATATCTGGTACAGAGACGGCCATCCCGCCAGCATCCGGTGTTGCGGAGAGAGATGATAAGAGCACTCCCCCAGTTGACGAAGCCTCCTTTGGTCCATCTACCACATCTATCGGTCCCGCTATTGCACCACCTCGACCGCCCTGCATCGTGGCCCCTCCACCTGCGCCATGTTCTACGGAAGAAGCTGCAGGTTTAGAACATAATACTAGCAAGACAACAACTACCAGCGGCCCCCGTGCGAAAACGCCACAGAACCTTTCGGTGGAAAAAGGCAAAGCTCCTGCATATACGACGGCAAAAGATGTTAAGGAACAAGATGCAATAGCACCTTTGACATCGTCCCCGCAAAAGAAAGCACGCAGGCTATCCAAACCTAGGCCATCGAGCAGCGGCAACGGCAGCGGCAACGGAAAGTCCAGGCTGTCGATCGATGCATCACAGCGTAGCAAGTCGAATTCAACTGCCCCCGGAGCCACTGTTTCCGAACTCGATCGAGCGAGCCATGTAGCTGAACCGAAGACCAGCGAGGCCAGTAAGGAGTCGTCCGAACTTACAGTGAAAATAAGGAAATTGCACAAGAAGCCGAAAGATAAAAGTCAACGGAGAAAGTGGTGGTCCTTTGGAAGACGATCCACCACTGCGGTACACTAGACGAAGGATATCGGTATTCATAACGGGCTTACACACAGCAGCAATGCGTCTGCAAATTGTTTTTATTCATTGCACAGGTACCTACTTATCTACTTCCTAGCGGCATGGGATGGTATCCCACAGCGTACACCTGTAAATTCTGCAGTTATAGATCTACAATAATTATGAAGCATTACGAGGAGTTCGAGTTCGACGTGGGTTATCAAGAGCGGATAGTTTAGTTATTTCTGGAGTATGGATCGACACGGGCTATTAGACGAACCTGTATAGTAGCTATTAACTACGGCTTCTCGCCCCGAAGTTGTAAATTATACATGGATTCGTCTGAGACGTGATATTCCTAGATGCCGTTCTTAGCTGTTAACATATCTCGATCTCGCAGTATTGCTATGAAAACAGAAGCTCTCCGCTACCCAGAGCAACTCGTAACGACAAACCCCTCCATCGAAAATGGGGGAGGTCGGGACGTCCCGAACGTGTCCCGCATGGCATCTGCACGCTAAGACGCACGATGGGTGGTTGATATGCACTGCCATAGGCCGAATGTAACCTTGGCCCATGCGGGATCTAGACTCTGACCGCGTTCTAATCTTAGTTTGGCAGGTTTCTCCTAGGTTGTGCGTCCGGAGAGCTATCGTGGCGCATGTAAGCCAAGATATGAGCTGACGCTAGGTTAGAGAATAAGCAAAGAGAGATAGTGCGTCCGTGTGTGCCTTCGGACTTAATAGAGAATGTTGCTTATTCCTTGGGTAGGTACGTCCATATTGATGAAGGACTAGTTATACGCCGTGGACTCTGGAGTTTGCCGCTGGATGTTTCTTGGGGAACAAGATCGTCATACGGCGCATCGCTTGTGTATCACACAGACTACCTACCTACCTACCTAGGTACATAATCTACTTAATACTAATACTACAACGGCAATGGATTGAGCCCTAAGATAGGTAGGCTAGCCAGAGGGAGACAAGACCTCCAGAACGGCTCTCGGGTGTACCTAGGTATACCAATGCCAACCAATAACGCCGCGACCAAAATAAACACAAGCCGACTTTCGTAACCCGTAACGCGAGCGACTGTTGCCTGCCTCTGCGAGAACTACTTACCTATCATATGTTAGATCCTCGAGCTAGCAATGCGGTTGCTTGCTTACTACCGCAGGCCAGTCAGCTCTCAATTCTTCCTACGCGACCCCCCCCTTCCTCAAGAACAACAACACAAGTACCAATGGCAGTTAATAGCAAACGCCAACGTTAGGCCGCACCTCGGCGCTGGAGCGGGATGGATTTCGCGCAGGTGGCTTGCGGCGAGCGAATCGAAAGGAGATGACGCTCTGGGAAATAGGGGGGGTGAGTGAGTGAGTGAGTAAGTGAATGGGTGGATATTTGCCTGTCAGATTGGGTGTCCAGCGCCAAAGGGAAGGAAATAATAAGCCTTCGCTTAAAGGCGATCGATGGGTGCTTCTCGTGTTCTAGGACCGGGGTCGTTCGGCCGATCAGCGCCTACATGTAGGTAGTATGTAGAGACTGACTGCTTCGCTTTGGGTTTGCTTGGCGACTGTAGTAACTGACGGAGGGTGAGCTAAAGTTGCTGCATATGCGCGTGAGCACAGGGGTGGGTGATTGTGTAGAATATATACGGACTGCCAAGCAAAATAACTAGGTAGGTTACCAATGTAAGGAGTATTCCCGTAGTCACCTTTCGGACTTACGATGTCTAGTAAACTGTTTACCATTTGAAAGGCAATGTTGTTCGTTTTCATAGTATTCTTATGGACCTACGTCAAGGTAACATGACAACAGTCTGCTGCCCGCTGCCATCGGTTTACTGCGCATTGAGCCAAATATCAAATAGTCGGGAGGCCGCATGCGGTTGATTGCATACGCCTTCCTAGGCTGAATATTGCTATTCTCTGTCTCGAGACTAGGTAGAGATGTGATGTGCTCGGTAGTTACAGCGGACGACATTATTCTTGGTATATGGTAGACATATATCGACCGTGATACTCGTATATAGTTCTATTCTCTATGTAGAAGTATTTATTTTTAACTCACGATCCCCGTACTTCTGATACTCCCTTTTATATTCTCCCGGAGTACGTGCTCCCCCTTTTTTTCAACTAGGCACAGTAGTGTTATTCGTCGAATTCGAATTAATAATCCACGTCAAAAGCGAATTCAACCCATCAGCAATACGGTCCTCGCCCTCGTCGTTGGGATGTATGCCGTCCTTTAGGAAGGTATTTGGGAACGGGTATATATCGTTAACGTAGATCGGCGACTCGGTCTTGTTCTGCTCGACTGCCCAGTCCGGGATCATTTCGTTGAGCCTCTTCACAGGGTTCATATTTGTCGGTAGCGGGACCACGGTGTTGACCTATTTGGAGATTATCTTAGCATTGTATCTTAAACTAGCTAGCTGTCGACTTAGATAGACTTAGATAGAAGACGGAGAACCCTACGATAACCTGTACGTGTTCGTTGTACTGCCGCATCGATTGCACCATATTCGTGTACGCCTCTACAACATCCTCCAACCGTCGGCCCCGAGCAATATCATCCGTACCAAGCATAAACGTGACGATGTCGGGCTTGGTATCGTTGAGCCACCCGTCGATATGGTCGTACGCTACATCGATCGCGAGATAACCCGTATGGCCTTCGTGGTGCTGTTTAGCAAACTCCGCGTCTTGCGTATCGCAACTCTGAGTATTGTTCATCGAGCCGACGAACTCGATCTTATCCGTCAAGTTATTTGCTTTCAAGCCATTCCACAGCTTTGCCCTCCAACAAGTGATCTCGGTTATGCTGTCTCCCAATGGCACTTTTCGCCTGTCAGTTAGGTGTATATTTGGTAAGAGGGGATATCGCAAGTTGGATCTCACTAATCTTTAACTTCGACTGGGAAAACACCGTGCCTATTAGGCAAGATGCTGAAAATACCCCCCTGAACTTCATGGCTGCAAGGCCTCTTTGAAGATGAGCATTTATCGAGGGTAGTTTGATATATAGTAAGGGATGAAGATACCAAATACTAAATTATAAGATGACCAGATGGCCAGCTCTTTAATCATATGTTTATCTTCATGTCGACTTATATCCTCAGCCTAAGAGATAGCTCAGGGTAGCCATTTACATCTGAGACTAGCCGTCTCACCACCGCATCAAACCTCCGCAGGTCTCCGAGAATCCAAAATCCAAAATGGCAGTGATATTCAACCATCATATTATCTGGAATAAAGATTTGGCTACTGATGATTTGCGTGCGGGGTAGGCAGGCATTCGGATGAAGACATTCAGGGGTGATCGCCTCGACGATATTTGTTATATAGCCTGAAAGAGAAAGCATAACCACTAGGTTAGGATGTACCACAACATAGCTACTCTACGATAATACATACCTCAAGTATCCCTCCTTTCTTAATCAATAGTTTCGTTGGGCAACCAGGAATCCTGCATCACATTTATAGATCTACTTTAGGCAAGCTTCATTGCGTTGGGTAATTACATATTGGGGTCTATCTACTTTACAACTTTACAGGCTCATGTTGACTTCATAACTCTGGTATGCGAATCTGAGATGGTGACTGGGTATATAGTATATATTATATATAACAACGCTACCAAACATCGTTATGATCAAATACTCGCACGTCGGGGCGCCATCGTCCTGCGCAATGCCTTCTTTGCCTCGGTTTCTTCAACTAATGGAAGCACGCCATCATCCTTCAGGCGGTCAAGGTATTGCCTGCCAAATTTATACCCTAGATCATAGATTTCGTCAAACTTCCCAAACTCCAAAGTCCCATATTCATCGATCGGCGGGCGCATGTAGAAACATCCCGGTATCATCTTGGCGCGCTCTAGAGCGTCTACACTCGATACGTAGGCTAATCGAGCTTGAATCTCCGCTAGCGTAGGAGGGTTTGGAATGCTTGAAAATGGATTCCATCGGTTGAAGAACGCCCAGAACCCCGAGAGCGTATCTCCGTAGCATTGAGGCGTATCATCATCTATGGCGCCTACATCGATAGCAAAAATAACGGAGGCGCCAAGGGATTTCATATGGGACACTGTGAGGTTGTCGATGTAACCACCGTCCAGTAACATACTGCCTTCGTCACATAAAGGTGGGAGTAGACCAGCCAACGACATAGATGCCCGCACATATCGCCAAGCATATCCACTAGTGTGGAATTCCTGCCTGCTCTTGCTGATATTTACAGTATTGCAGTAATACTCTAACCAGAAGTCTTCGATCTGGTGCTTCCCAAAAGTTTTGAAAATGCCGCGATTAAACTCATGTCCAGTTGTGTACGACGCAGACGGATATGTTAGATCGAACGCAAAACGCCACATGCTTGCCATCCTCCCGGAGAACTTTTTAGCCAGACCAAACATGGGCACTACATCAGCATGGCGTGCATAAAGGGCCCCAATAAAGGAGCCGATCGACGTGCCACCAACGATATCAATAGGAATACCGGCCTCTTCCATTGCCTTGATGATACCAACGTGAGCAATGCCTCGGGCACCACCTCCTCCAAGTACAAGCCCAATAGACTTGCCGCAGAGTCTTCTGGCAAGTCTTTGGAAGTCGCCTTTATAAGGGGCGTCGGGCGAGTAATAAGGCCTTTGTCGTATCTTCTGAACTGTATACTTTTGTATCTCAGCCTGTAGAATTTGTACTCGCTCTTTTAAGGTCGGCCCAGCCTTCCTAGAGGGCGGATGTGCGGTAACGGCGTTTGACTCGAAGACCATCTGTAGATGGTGATGTCCTCCATTAATCCAGACACGGTTTCTTAACCAACCTCTCGTCAGGCCAGGGGGCGAATAGCGCTCGGTGTGGAGGAGAACTAGTGTTTTGCGAGCGGTTGACTTCATGCCAAGCATAAATCGTTCGTATTCGCCAATCTCAGGGGACCCTTCGGCCAGACCTACGAGCAGAATGCAGTCTGCTTGTGTGATACAGGTTTGGGTCCAAGGTGCTGTCACGCTCGTATCTAGTAGTTCTAGTTAGAATTGTGTATAACTCGAAGCTCAAATCGAACAGGGAATTTGTATATTATGGTCAGGAAAAAATTAGAGTTTATAGCCTTCATTGACGGCGCTCTGGGTGTGATTTGCTCATCATACCAAGGAAAAAAGAACGTGGAAAAGGAACGGATTAAACTTACCGGCAACGTAAACAACCAATCCGTACTTCTCTTCAAGGTCGGCAAGATAATGAGCTAGCTTCAGCTTTCCCATTCTATTGAACGCATGTTTACCAAGATGGCTGAGAATTGCGGCTTGGTTCAGCGAAGTCGCACCGTTTGGTGTGCCGACTTGTGCCAGAGCATTCATCAAGCGGTTTCCAAATTCAACAACTGGAATACCCGACCTAACTGGAAGAATAGCAACGGTCCTTATGTTCAACGTAGACGAACTCCTATTGATGGACGTGCCAAAAGTCCCGTCCTTCCCTGTAGGATTTGATGGATCATCGACCAATAGCCGCATCCGAGAGGCGATGATCTTCGAAATTTTGATCGTGATATTAGGATGCTCTTGGGCAAGGCTGTTAAATAAGGTGCGAGGAAATTTGACCAGCTCCGTCGCACGAATAGCGTGCAGGGTTCCAGAACGAGTAGATTCAGTCATGACTTCTAGTTCGCCAACACTGTCACCTTGGCCGAATTCCGCGCGAACGTTTATCCCGCCATCCTTTCTGTCTTCTACTAATCGCAACCTTCCGTTGAGAACAATATAAATAGCCTCGCTTTCCTCATCTTTACGGAATAGGACTTGCCCGGCATTGACTTGGACCCATTCAAGGGCGAAATCAATATGCAATATGAGTCGCGGGAGTAAATTCGTGAGTCTCTTTGCCATTGTCAGGAGCACAATTGGATATCTCTCTACAATCTTCTCCAATGTTGCTCGCGGGATGAAGCCGACATATACATCCGTTTTTGCAACTACGTCGATGAAGGATCTGAATGAAGAAACAGTACCAACGTAGCCTGCAAGACCGCCGGGTTTCACGAGTCCTACTCGGCGGCGTTCCGGTTTCGCACCTCGTTTTGCATCAGACGCGCTTTTGTTGTCAGGCTTCTTGGTTGGAGCAAAAGATGACGGGCGTCGAGCGGCTTCTTCGGACTCCGCCCTATGCATCGCCGTTGTTGATGTTCTACTGGATGAACTCAGGATATTGCTTCCCGAGTCTTCTGCAGGGACACAAATATCGAGAAATCCGTCAATGACATAGTAAAGTCCCGGACTTCGCTCACCCTGTTCGACCAATACAGAGCCCTGTCCAAAGAAAACAATTTCCACTTCGTGCTTCATATCAGCCGCAAGAATCTGGGCATTCGGCGTGCCAGTCGACGAAATACCGCCAGAAGTCATTGATTCAGCATCCCAATCAGTCGAGCCATCAAAAGGATCCATGAACCCAAAAGCGTTACTACTGAACACAGCTTTCTGCCTTCTCTGATCATACGAGACAAGCCTCGGGGAGCCTTCCGTAGACTCTGGGCCTCGAGATGAGGAGCCACTGCTGCTCATGCCTAAGGCTTTGAAAACACATTCTAGTATAGACACCCTAAATATATTGTCCTCATCAACAGACTCTCGAGGATCAATCGATAAACGAGCTCGTTTCTGGGTAGAGAATGGGTTGAAAGTACGCCGAGCGAGAGGACTTGTATCTCCACTCCGAAAGGTATCCGAGTGCTGGAAAGATTCTGCTATGGGTATCTCCAAGGTACCACTTGATCCTCCCCCCCCACTACGGGCTAAGTGGACGTTGGCCAGCAGGTCCCCAGGGCTAGGAGTGTGAATCGAGAGGCGTTCTTGGGGCGGTGCAATCGTAGATGCCACCACAGACCGAGGTCTAGCACGACTCATTGCTTGCATGGCTGCCTCCTTACGCAAGCCCGTCGAAGACCTACGTCGGCGGCTCGTAGTAGATCCATTATGCAAAGCAATTCCTTTTCCACTTTCCTCTTCACCGGCTCTTTCCCTCTCCTGCTTAAATTTTTCCTTAAGGCGTTCTAAAGCATCACCCCGAAGGATGTTTGGCAGCTGGCAAGTGGCATAGCGAATCATATTCTTTTCTGTGTGAAGAACCTCGTTGGTTAATCCGAGATAGTTGTATGCGGTAGCGAGAGTGACACGTTGGAATCTAGACAATATGACGTGAACGATATGAGCAGTCGCTTTAGGATAAACCCGAATCAGCCGACGGAATGCACTGGCAGGTATGATCGCGATAGTCGTGTCGACTGTCGCCCTTCCAATAACATCGGGATGGACAGAGGTGGCTGTCCTTTTCATGGCAGGACGAGTGTGGCTCACTTGCGGTTCATCTAAGGAAATAGGGGGGATATTTGGTAGCCTAGGCCGAGTAGGAGAAGATGGCGTCGTGACTTGAGACTCGTCGGCCCGGAATGGACCGCCATGAATTGGGTCAAGCTCTGAGGTTTTAGTTAAAAAGCCCGTCATGTCATGCTCATGCGTAAAACTACCACTAACTAAACGTTCATGGTGCGACCGGTTACTGGCACTGTTGGGCTCCAGACTCTCCTCAGATGGCAACTTGAGCTTTACATCTTCTGTAAATAAAGACATTATCGAGAAGAGGGATGACATGGGGTTGCCATTCCGCACCTCAGTCAGTAGCTGATATCGTTGCTGACCAGGGACAGACTGCTCATCGTCCGAGAAAGAAGACTGCAACGGGCTCTCATCTAGTCCAGTGGATCGGCATGACTGGTTGGGGTTGGAAGACTTGACGAAGATCTCCACCAGCCCGTCTACAACAAGGCAGAACCCTTTCTCTTCTTCTAGGTTCAGCGTCTCGCCAGCAATCAGTTTCCTGGTCTGCATACTCCTGGTCAACTCATGAAACACAGGGCGTTCGAGATAACCAAAGATTTTGATGGCGCTAAGAAACTCGTCGAGATAGTTGGTTAAGCCAGGTTTAGCACCTTCCTCGTGGCTCTCCGGGAAAAGATCTAGATCGGGCTCTTTACGCTGTGGTTCCGGAGGGAGACGAGAATACACATTCAAGTATCTATATCTCACAACCCAAGTTACCGCAGAGAACATGAGCAACACTATCAACGCCCTATTTCCGTATATTAGTATATCAAAACTACGAAGAACAAGTGGAACTATTACAAGGTTGTGGCATTCATCGTTACTGTCCAGCTCGTGGAGAACAACGTAAACAGTAACGTCGGCACAGATATTGTTGTGAGCTTAAGACTCCAGTACAAAATTGTCGAGAGAATGTGGAATATAAAAAGAACGAGTCTAGCAAAGAGCCCAAGCCACGAAGAAGAGCCCTGGGTATCGGCAACATCGTTTACTCTCGTAATGGCCGAAGCAATAGCGGTTGAAGAACTATTCGCAATAGTCGCTACGGCTTGCGAAAGAGCCATCTCAACGGCGGTGGTGGTGCTAGATGGATCCATGGTTATGTATATGTGCAAGGACCTGTGGGACCTCTGAAAAAAAAAATCAATATTTCTTCTACCCAACAACTAGAGTATCATGATGAGAGTATCATCCTTTGGCGCGGTGGAAAAGCGAGGGTTTAGCTCTGTATGCCGAGTAGCTGGAGCTGGAAAAAGGATTCCAGCGGATTTGCAGCTTCAGAGACATTTGGGCTAAGTAAATGGTTGAAAAGTAAGAGTAGAAAAAGTAGAATTATTAGAGGAAAGAAAGCTCCGAACACATGTGCATTTGGCGGAACTTCTCGTCGATTTCCAAGGTGCTTAGGTGGGTCTCCTGCTACTAGTGTGAGCACGGCCTACTGTTTCTTCCGCCCTCCGTAGCTATTGTACCTCATAGCAGGCAAAGTACCACTCAAGGTTGGATTACAGGCATTAAATTTTGGCCAGAAGAGTTGGCAGGTGTAGCCAATTGTCTGCTTTGACCTGGTACGGGTACGAACCTTCGCACCGTTAACCCCGCCAAAAGCATTTGGGTGCCACACCCCACGCTCAGGTCATAAAGATTTCCATCATTGACAAATTTGTGACTCCCTGCACAGGACGAAAATAATAATTGATATACCAGCATAGTTCGCCACGTCGAAGCGCGCAATCCTGACAACAACCCGAAAAAGACCGATTGTCAAGAAACTATCGGTGAAGGGGCATCATACTGGATTTACGAGCCGCAGAGAAATTTTAAACCCCGCCTGCGCGCGTGCGATCTTGGGCCCATCAGATATTTTTAAGATCAGGTACTGCTATTTTCGCCCAAGATGTCGTTGACAAACTGTCGCTTTTACGAGGAGAAGTATCCGGAGATCGATAGCTTCGTTATGGTCAATGTGAAGCAGGTTCGTAGGCCACCATCATACAACACCGATTTTGCCTAACTCAGTTTAGATCGCTGATATGGGTGCTTATGTCAAACTACTCGAATACGATAACATCGATGGCATGATTCTCCTATCTGAACTTTCCAGACGTCGTATTCGAAGTATTCAGAAGCTTATTCGGGTTGGTCGCAATGAAGTTGTGGTCGTCCTCCGAGTCGATAAAGAGAAGGGTATGTGTGACAGCAAGAATATCTACACTGGCATATAGACAAACTGACTGGTGAATGTTAGGATATATCGATCTCTCGAAGCGCCGAGTCTCCCCCGAGGATATCGTTAAGTGCGAGGAACGATACAACAAGAGCAAGATGGTCCATTCCATCATGCGCCATGTGGCCGAGAAGACTCAAACCCCCATCGAAACCCTATACGAGAGCATAGCTTGGCCATTGAACAAGAGATACGGCCACTCCATCGACGCGTTCAAGCTCTCCATAACGTGAGTGTATCAGCACCTAGCGTTATGACTTCCTTGCGGCTAACCCGAACTTTAGGAACCCCGATGTATGGAGCGATATCACATTCACTAGCGAGCCGGTAGCAGAGGAACTGAAGTCGTACATTGGAAAGCGCTTGACGCCTCAGCCCACGAAGGTTCGGGCCGACATCGAGGTCACCTGCTTCGAATACGACGGAATCGATGCTGTTAAGGCTGCCTTAAGAACGGCGGAAGCGCGAAATACCGAAGAGAACCAGGTGAAAGTGAGACTAGTCTCCCCGCCGCTCTACGTCTTAACAAGCACGTGCCTGGACAAGAACGTTGGTATAAGCCGACTGGAGGAAGCTATCGTGGATATCCGCAGCAGCATCACCAGCGCAGGTGGTCAACTCGTGGTCAAGATGGAGCCTAAGGCGGTAACGGACTCGGATGATGCCGAACTGCAGGCGCTGATGGAGAAGCGCGAACGTGAGAACGCGGAGGTTAGTGGAGACGAGAGTGTTAGCGAGAGCGATGACAACATCCCCGTAACTGTCTAAGCTATCGTTCGACTTTGGTTCATTTCAATTAGTTCCACCGCAAGGGGTGTACGGCTAGGTAAAGGGTACCAACCTAGAGGTCTTTGACATTCAGGGGTCATAAAAAGTACCTAGCATGCGAATAGAGCATTTTGTGTTTTTCGGAATGAAGTAAATACTCAAGTTGCTGTCCCTGTCTTCGTACATTGAAACGACTTAAGCTGCTTGGTAAGAGTTGTGCTTCTTAACTGCCTGATACGGCTTATCCCATTTTAATTTGTAAGTTGCCCGTTAAGTTGATGCCGGGAGGCAGGATGATCCAGGAGGCTTGGTGATTGTTACATTTATTTGCCTATGCGGTGCTAGCGAAATGATATGCTGTGTAAAAGGATATCTCTCTAGTCGCAGTATCTGTTAGTTGGGGTAGTTAGTGGGATGTGGATTCAATTATAGAAAATCGAAGTTTATTGTTGTAATGAAGACAAAGTATAAATAAAACGTCTTGTTCATCAGCACTTCACTTAGTGACATTGAGATCTCACTTCAGGTTGAGGTCTACATTGATTAACGCCTAATGGCGTTCCGGCCGATATGGAATCGAATTAAACGTGATCACCAACATGCTGGCAGGTTCGGCTACCGTCTATTCGCTTTCGCAACATGGATTCCGGTGGTTTCTATGTTCAACCACTATATTGGAGAATTAGCTTGGATCAGCGGGCCGTCAATGTATCCTTTTTTGAATGCGGAAAAGGACCAGACGACTCGGAATGATGTGGTGATCAAGTATAAGTTGAATGCGCAGTATGGGCTGCGGCGAGGCATGATAGTCATTTTCTGGTATGGTTTTACAATGGCAAGTCTAAGTTCCTGCGATGCTAACACCAGCTCTAGGAATCCCTATGATCCAGAGGTTGAGGCTGTTAAGAGGATTGTCGGGCTTGAAGGCGATATCATAAGGACGCGAAGTCCGTATCCCTCTCCTACAGTCCGCGTGCCAATGGGGCATGTCTGGGTTGAGGGTGACGGAGGCGAGCGCTTGAGCAGGGACAGCAACGATTATGGGCCAATTTCGACGAATCTCATAACTGGTAAGGTCACCCACGTCGTGTGGCCTCTACATAGATTCGGTAGAGTCCAGTGGTGGGAATATGCAGGGAATATTAGGAATTAAACAACGAAACAACTACTACATATTTACTCATCGACTGCTATCTAACACAAAGGTACCTCCTACGTGTGATGTCAACTAATTGCTGGTATGCAGATAACCGTAAGATGCTGTAACCCGACCTCCCGATCTACCGGTAGATAGAGATATGTAGGTACCTATGTACCTACAGATTATTCCAGATAAGAGATAAGGCAAAGCCGGATAAGGTCCACAGGCGCCCACCAACTCGGGCGCGAAGGCCCGTGATAAACCGCGCGTAAACCGATATGGCCGATTAGGTACGATTTAGTGCTATTGGTACATAGAAAATTTCCTACCATCTATCTTATTCGGATTCAACGTTCAGTAGGTGGTCGCTTTCGAGCGCGATCGCCTCTCGCACAGCACTAAGTCTCGAAAGATTTGTATAGATAAGCGACGTCTATGAGCGGATAACTCGTGGTTATCCTAGTGGCGTTGCTGGTCTGTTCGAACGACCCATTTCTTTTAGATAGTTACCGATACCCATGATGGACTTTCGGAGCACAAATCTTTGGAGTAAATTATCACTTCTACGACGCAGTCGCGCGGGCATAAGATGACCTTCGACAATGGGGAATTGGAGGGGCGCCCACCCTATATCCACGTGAGTACTTCCATCGTATGGGTGCATGGGCGTAGGATAGACAGCCCATACTAATTATTTTATGTTCGCAGACCATGCTCGCAGGAGGGCTTGGTGGAACTACGGGTGATATGCTGATGCACTCGCTCGATACTGTCAAAACTCGACAACAAGGTGATCCGCATATGCCACCTAAATATACCTCTTTAGGATCATCGTATTATACAATATTGCGTCAGGAAGGGATTCGACGTGGGCTGTATGGAGGATGGCTCCCAGCCATGATGGGCTCTTTCCCCGGCACAGTTCTCTTCTTTGGTACCTATGAATGGAGCAAGCGGCATATGCTAGACTATGGACTCCAGTCTCATATCTCTTATTTGTTAGCTGGTATGCATTAGGGTTACCCTTGGCGAAGCTTGTCCTGGCTTATACTAACAAATTCTCAGGGTTTCTCGGCGACTTCGCCGCATCAATAGTCTACGTACCCTCCGAGGTGTTGAAGACTCGCCTTCAGCTTCAGGGCCGGTACAACAACCCTTATTTCAAGTCCGGATACAACTACCGCGGTACTTTTGACGCTGCGAGAACCATTATCAGGACAGAGGGAATTTCAGAATTGTTCTCTGGATATAAGGCAACTCTATATCGAGACCTTCCATTCTCTGCCTTGCAGTTCATGTTCTACGAACAATTTCAAAGTTGGGCCCGTGAATACAAGAAGAGCCGAGAGATTGGAGTACGGTTGGAATTACTAACCGGAGCTGCCGGTGGTGGATTAGCTGGAGTACTCACCTGTCCCCTTGACGTAGTGAAGACCCGGCTACAAACCCAGATCGACCTCATCCCGGTTGTGAGCAAACCGAAAGATCGCTCGGCTAGAGAGACTATGTCGGGGCTTAAAGAGTCGGCTTTAAAACAGACACAACCTTTATCTCAACCCAAGCTGCAAAAGCGCCCCATATCCACATCATCACCCTCGACACACACACCGCGGCCTGGTGCTATTCCATTAGACGAAGATTCGATAATGAAGGGGCTCAAGCTAATTTATAAAACAGAAGGTGTTGGTGGGTGGTTTAGAGGAGTTGGCCCGCGGCTTGTCTGGACCAGTATACAAAGCAGTTGCATGTTGTTCTTGTATCAAACCATATTACGAAAATTAGAGGTATGGCTTCCGGTAGAGAGATCAGACATGTCTGCTTAACTTGACCTTTATGAAGGGAGGGCGTTGGATCCTGTGTCGGTGGAGGGTTTAAGGGTATTGTAACAACAACCCAAAACAAGTGCACGGCGTTCAAGGAAGACGGGGGCAAGAGGTAAACAATAGATGGACGGATAGAAATCTCAATTGTATGTGATTTTAAAATATCTTGAATCTGTGCTTGAACATTAGGCACGTACCTAACGTACCTAACGTATCTAACGTATCTAACGTAGGTACCTACATAACGTCCATACCTATGAGATGGGGGTGCTCCTGATGATGTATCCATATAATTGCATATGCATATATGCAGAGTTTGTTATCTTCCACCATGTGAAGAGTGCAGGTGATATTCTGCTAGGCGGGGTTCTACATAGGTCAAAAAACTGGGCCCGTTGTTTGCAGCTAATCTTTGTTGTAGTTGACCCACGTCAATCATCGCATTATCAAACCATGGCACCAGCAAATGCAAATGATGATTCCGCAAGCCCGCAAGCCCGCAAGCCCGCAAGCCCGCAAGCCCGCGAAGCCTCTTTTTATACAATTTCGACTACAACCTTAGGCGCATAGCATCCGCACTCTATATCCTATATCTATGAACCTCTAGCTTAAGAATGCTATGGGTTAACATCTGAACCATTTTCTCGACATGGCAGCACACGCTTCGCAAATATGCCACTCCCGTTGCCTATCCCGTCGAAGGCTGCGATTCATGCCCTCCGAGGGATTGCCCTGGGTACCTCATGCGCAATCGGCGTCATAGTCGAAGACCGAAGACGGCGAATCAGTACTTTGAAGACCGCCGTATCAAATAAGGAGAAACTAAAGTCGGTTAAAAGATATCATGGTATGGCAGTTCCATCTCCGGTACAGTTCGACGAAGCAACTTTCACACACGGTGATCAATTCCAATGGCCTCAAGTGGAAGACGATATAGCCAGGACTCACGATAGTCCTCGGCCCAGATCCTGTCCTCGACAGCATTCCCCCGAGGATGTTTCTTCAGAAGCCAAGCCTCCGGCATTTTTGAAATCGGGAAGCCTCCTAGAATCTTCGTCGATAACCACTACACAAGCCGAAATATCGCCCTCGCAAACCGCACAATATGGCACAGTCCATTCCTTAGATAGCGCTTGGCGGCTAACAAGGTTTCCGGAAATGGGATTCGATGCTCATAAGACTTGGGGAATGTATCAACCTACGAGCCCTACACCAATTCTTAAGCCTCGTCTAAATAGGCGCGCCCAAGCACTCGCAAACATAACCAGTATCCTGGCTAGTAAGGATGAAGAAAGATTAGATCGAGCTCTTAAGAAATTCTCTGATGCATCCCTTTCGTGTTATTCTCAGCACTTAGACGACGAATGGTTTGCCCTTTCTATTCGACTTGCTGAAGATTGTCATGCAAAAGGCCGTTTAGAAGATGCTGCTAAGCTCCTCGTTTCACTAACCAGTACTGGTCCCCTCGAGGAGTCCCAATACTTCGCCCATCAGCCCATACTTCTTATAAAGCATTGCCTACAGCAGGTAGATGAGAATGGACACCTTCCCAAGGAAGTCATATCTACGGCGACTCGCATCTTCCTAGCAGCATTTAAAGAAAAGCCTCAAGTGCATTTTGGGGAATTAGAAGATTTTGGAAGGCAGCTGATGGCCCAAAATCTCATGTTGAGTGAATTTCGCGTTGTCCATAACATTTACTGGAGAGTAATCAGTCTTGTCAAAAACGCAGCCGAATTTACGGGGTGGGCTATAGAAAAGCTTCATGAACACCGTGACCACAAGAGTGTACTCAAATACTTCTTACTGAATTACTCAAAGACAAGCCCCGATAACAGATCATACCGCACAACGGTTGATTGTGTCGTCTCCTCTGTCGAGGCTCTAAAGGGCTTGAAAGCTGAGCACGTAATCGACGCTATCTATCGGATGGATTGCCCAGATGAAGGTTTAATACGAACCCGTTGGATCTTGAAATTGCTACATGCACATTGGAATCGGAACCAAGATTTTCCAACATTGAAGGCGCTCTTTGACGGGATGTTGTCTCTACAGCTGCTAGACAAGGTCACACATCCGCAGGTAGTTTACCGTACAATGGTCGAGTTGTCAGCTAAGGCTGAAGAGTACGATTTGGCAAGGTCATATTACGAAGAGCTTCTTGGGAAGTATCCTGAGATGGCTTCAGACGTCGCCTTGAGAGGTCATATGGCTTTGCCAATGGCTAAAGCTGAAGACTGGGACGGCGTATTTAATGCTTTCGTCGAGATGCAGACTCTAAAATGTGGACAAGAAAATGAATATGACGACGTTTTCATCCCAATCTTGAAAATATTTGCGGAGAACCATCCAGCTGTCGAGGTCCGCGAATTTGTATCGAAGTATACCAGCGTTCTAGGGATACGCATGCATCGGTATATTGTCACGATGGTAGCAAACAAATACGGTCAATGCCATGACATGCCAGGCTTTGTGGCATGGTTACAGTACTGTAGCAAAGCTGGATATGCCATGGATTCAAGTTTCTGTAATTCACTCCTCCACAACTGCCGGACTAAATGGGCTATGCCCTACCACGAACTACGAGCCCTCTGTTCCGAATTCAAAAAGATCGATGCGTCCCTCGTCGACGACACAACGCAACGCATCTTAAGTCAAGCAGCGCTAAGGGCCGGCAAAACCACCAGGGATGGTGGTGTCAACCGAGCACTGTGTCCATCTCACATTGCAGTGGACAAGTTGGCGTACACTGGGAGAACGACTAATAGGCGGGACATCTACGAAGCAATGAATCAAGAAATAAGCAATAACAAACCGGCGACGGCGATTTCGATCTATCAGCGTGCCATACAACTTGGGATGCCCCCTTGTCCGCACTGCCTTCGCCTAGCTATATTAGCGACACTGAAAAATAGCAATAATGCCTCTGCTTCTGCGATGAGGTTGATTCAGGTTGCACACAGACGCGGCGAGGATGTGACCTCAGCAGTGTCAGTACTCATCAAATTCCAACTGGATAACTTCCAGGCGGAAGCAGCGGATGTTCTGCTTCACATGCGGAATTTAATTACTCAATTTGAAGCATCACACATCGTTATCGGTCCAGATGTGCTCACGCACATGGCCATGTTCTGCGTCAGGCTAGGCCACTACGAAAAGGCGGTTTCGCTATGCAGCCTGGCAATGGACAAGAGCGGGACTGAGAACCTCTGCTTCTCAAGACAGTGCTTCAGGGCACTACTAATGTCCTACCCGAAGCTGTTGGATTTGAAAGGGATGAAGCAATTGATTGAGGATTTACTCAAAAGCGAGTATGCCGCAGACAGATCCGTATATCTGTATCTGAAAGCGACTACGAGGCTGGTCAAGAAAATGGACCCCGATCGCACTGTCGATTCTATAGTAGATATTCTAGAGTATGCTAAGGAGGAGGTAGCGAGACGGCGAGGAGAGACTAGGGCGGAAAGTCAGCATATCGCCAGGGAGACTCTTAAAATCATGAACGAAGCATTAGCAGACATGCAGGCGTCGGAAAGGGACAAAGGCCTGGAAAAGCAACAGTAGCAGTAAGCCTTACGAGAAGGTAGCGGTCCTTTGAGTGGCTGCTGCGCGGTGTTGCGTATTATTTGTATATACCCCGATATACTTCCTGAGTAACTAGTTGTTGATTATACAGGATATCTTTGAAACATGCACAGCATACACATTGTCTATTTGCAATGTTGGCTTTTAGTTAAATTTCAACTCGACAGCCACTTAACTCACCATTCCTCGAGTTGGAAGACCGTACATGTTATCAAGGTGTGTATAGTATACCTAATCAACTTGAATCCCACTGACCGGAGTTATTTAAATATTGCAAGAACATCCGTTAGGCCCTAGTTTTTCATATTTCTCCATGAGTTAATGAAGAACGGAGAACGGAGTATTTTGGTTATAACCTGACCAACTTACTATAATAAAGTGAAGGATAATGGTGTTGCTCAACCCGTGAAAGTATTCATGTATTGAACTAATATCTTTCCATTGGACAATTGACTAAGGGGACGGAGTGGGGTCATTGATATAACCACTGCCTAGCGGCTTCCAACAATTTAGCTATCGGGCTTGGCAAGCATGTGCTAGCAGACTAGCAATTGAAGCTAGCCAGGAACATGACCAAAAGAGAAGAAGGGGAAGAAAAAAAAAAAAAAAAAAAAAAGAGATGCTCGAATCTTTGGAATCGCGTGGTGAACCGATAAGGGGCAGAAAAAATGAATATCACTATACATGGGACGATTCGTCGAACCATTATGATCTGAGAGAATCGGTTTACTTAGGTTTTATTTTATTCAATACTTCGTACCATTTTATAATTCTACAACTCGACCCTTTTCGCTTTAGCTCCAATGACCCCTAATTATTATTCTAACCTAGTCGTGCAGCTCTTTTTTTAATACCGAAAAGACTAGTATTTAAATAAATATTCAAGTCCCATCCCGTCTTTCTTTCTATTACAGAACATTTCTTAGAGGTTTATATTTATTGCGATACCCACCCATTAAGACAAGACCGTCTCACCGACAAGACAAGACAATCCTTTTTGCCATCGACCTCGTAACTTGGTTCATTATTATTATTATTATTATTATTACTATACTTTAGATACTTCTAATAACAAAGCTCGCCTCCGACTAAATACCTCCCCCCCCCCCGCCGTTCCCTATGAGCGAAACTACAGTCGTCGTAGAAACGCTCGCCGAGCGACGAGCTAGGCACCACGAGGCCGAGGTCGTAATAGTCGGTGCCGGCGTCTTCGGGTGCGCCGTTGCATATGCTCTAGCCGAGCAGGGCAGGAGTGTTATCCTCCTCGAGAGATGGCTAAAAGAGCCTAACCGAATCGTCGGCGAACTGATGCAGCCAGGCGGTGTAAACTCTCTCCGGAAACTGGGCTTAGGCCACACCATCGACGACATCGACGGCCAGCCATGCCACGGCTTCAACGTCTTCTTCTACGGCAAAGACGTCCGCATGCCCTACCCCCGGATACAAGGCCTGCTTGGTCTGGACGGAGACGAGAAGGCAAATGGGAACGGGAGTGCAAAGGTTAAGAGCGACGAACCGCCACGACCCCAGGGCCGAAGCTTCCACCACGGCCGCTTCATCTCACAGTTACGCAAGGCCTGTCTCAGTCACCCCAACATCAGCGTGTTCGAGACGGAAGCCATAGGCACCGTCAAGGGCGACCACAACCCAGAAATCCTAGGCGTTGAGACGCGAACAGTCAACGCCACCACCGGCGAGAAAGAGCCCGACTGCTTCTTCGGACAATTAACCATCGTCGCCGACGGCTACGCCTCCCGCTTCCGCAAGCAGTACATCAACGAAACTCCGATAGTCCGCAGCAAGTTCTACGCCCTCGAGCTAATCGACTGCCAACTCCCTAGCCCCGGCTTCGGCCACGTCATCATCGGCGCCCCCAGCCCAGTCCTCATCTACCAGATCGGCACGCACGAGACCCGCATCCTCGTCGACGTGCCCGAGAAACTCCCCGAAGCCGCCCCGGCTAACGGCGGCGTCCGCGGATACATGTCCAAGGTGGTCCTGCCCGCGCTCCCCGCCTCCGTCCAGCCCTCCTTCAAAGCCGCCCTCGACCGCGACTCCAAGATCCCGCAGAGCATGCCCAACAGCTGGCTGCCCCCCACCAAGCAGTCCTCCACCCCGGGCCTCGTCATCCTCGGCGACGCCATGAACATGCGCCACCCGCTGACCGGCGGCGGCATGACCGTCGCCCTCAACGACGTCGTCCTGCTGCGCGACCTCCTCGCCGACATCCCGGACCTGTCCGACACCGCCGCCGTCGCGCGCGCCATGGACACCTTCCACTGGCGCCGCAAGAAGCTCACCGCGATCATCAACGTCCTGGCCATGGCCCTGTACAGCTTGTTCTCCGCGCGCAACAGCGAGCTGGCGAAGCTGCAGCGCGGGTGCTTCGCCTACTTCGAGCGCGGGGTCACGCGCGAGCCGATGGGCATGCTGGGCGGGCTGATCCCGGATCCCTTGGCGCTAGCGTACCACTTCTTCTCCGTCGCGTTCGTGGCGATCTGGCTGGATTGGAAAGCCACCGGGCTCTGGAAGGTGCCGCTGCTGTTCTGGAATGCGTTTTGGATCCTGTGGACGGCCAGCCGGGTGTTCTTGCCGGTCATGTATCGGGAGGCGTTTGTGTAGACCGGGTGGTGGTAATACGTTCGGTAGGTACCTAAGTTAAGTGCTATGTGGCGATGGTTCGAGGAGGGACTTTTGGTCTCGGTATACCCTGAAGAAGAAGAAGAAGAAGAAGAAGAAGAAGAAGAAGAAGAAGTAGGAATGTGGACTTGGACTTGGACTTGGACTTGGACTTTGAGGTCCGTTATCGAGTGATTATGAGAAAGGGGGATGTCTGTCCGCCCTAGAGGATGATACACACACACACATATACAAACATGCATGCATGCATACGTCTCTGCTCGGTATACTTGGGCTTGATATCAGTCGCCCAGCGAACAGGAGAAAGAGACATGAGAGGAAAATGAAGATTAATTAGATCTACGGCTTAACGGATATATATCAGTATTTAATTGTAATGATTCAAATGAGATTGACAAGATTGTTTAGTGGCTTGTCTGCGAGACGTGTTTGGATGTCTTAAGTTGGTAGGCTTCTACTTATGATCTACTACCTCATCCCAATATGAAGCGTATATATATGTAGGGACCTAAGTATACGAAGGTCTTAATGCTCTGCTTAGGTCTTCAACGGATGTTCAGAGGCAGAGGTCGTAATCGTCACATCGCAGCTTACATCACCGCTTAACATTTAAAGCAAGTAGGATAAATAAATCGGGGCGGAAATTTTCTCTATTCACTCCATCGGATATCCATACAGCGTTGAAATCAAAGGCCATGCAGTATAATACGACTGCGCTGATTGTATAGAACCAGCATGGGCTAATTCATAGCCTACCCCCTATTCCATCATTTTATACACCGAGCCCTAATGTTCTTATGCATCTCCTCCCCCTTTAGCGCCCTACGTCAGCCGTCGCCGGTACACGCCCATCATCCAGCTGGCCCTTAGCACGGCGAGGCCGATAGCCATCTTAACGCTATCCTGTATAACATTGAGCTTGCTCCCGCCGACCTCGTGCCAGTCAATCGGCACCTCGGCAACCTTGATGCCGGGGCTACTGCCAATAACAGCGCCGTCGCTGCCGAGCACCGGGACGGCGGGCGCGGACTCGGCCAGCATAAGCATCTCGATGTCGAAGATCCAGCCCTCGGCGTGCATGTAGGGCACGATATGGGGCAGGGCGGCGCGCGAGAAGAGCTTGAAGCCGCACTGGGTATCGCGGATGCGCGAGGTGGCGGGGGGTGTCAGGATGGTCAGGACGAGGTGGAACGAGCGCATGAGGAAGTTGCGCAGCGCGGATCTCTTGACGACGGCCTCGCTGCCGACCAGGTGGCCCCGGCTTCCGATCGCGACGCCCCGGTGGCTGCCGTCGACCACCTCCTCGCACCCCTCGACCAGCTTGCCTAGGTCGCCGAACCTGGACGCCCCGTCCGCGTCGGCGAACAGCGCGTACTCGCCCCTGACGTGTCGCAGCCCGTGCGTCACGCCGCCGCCCTTGCCGCGGTTGCGCTCGAGCGTCACCACGCGCAGGATGTCGTGGAGCTGGTGCTTGCGCGCGAAGTCGAGCGCTACTTCGACGGTGCGGTCCCTGCTGCCGTCGTTCACGACGATGATCTCGTATCCGGCCAGGTCCTCGCGCGGCGCGTTCTTAACGTGCCTGTGGGTGGGGATAGGGGCTCGCTTGGGGAGGGCGTTGGGCTTCGGACGAGGGTCGCGGCCGAATGTGGCGTCGAGGTATTCGACTGCTTCTTCCAGGGTCGGTAGGATGCGGTCTTCCTCGTTGTAGGCGGGGAAAACGACGCTCATGCGGACTTCGGCGGGCTCGATGGATCCGGTATCTGCGATGTCGGTTAGGGTGGGATCGTCATTTGTGGCCCTGGCCTCGCTTGCGTGTCGGTCGGCTAGCCATCGGTCATGCCAGCATGGGAGCTGCCGTCTTTCGGTCCCAGTGGGTGTGGTGGTGATATAAGTCTTCTCGGAAGGGAGGACGGCTCGGGGTTTGGGTGCGACGAGATGGAGTACGGCGTAGAGCTGCTACTAAGTTAGCCAGCCTACTAAGACATTATATTTATATTATAGTGAATAGAGGAGGTCCATACGCTGTAGAATGCAACAATGACCAATGCTGCAAATGCTGCAAATAATATATGCGGGGGCGTCTCCTTCAAGGTCGAGGCGATCAAGTTGAGAAGATCCATGGCTGCGATCCCCAGGCGCGACAGGAAATCAAGCACGTGAAGGTGTTCACATTGGAGGTGCTTTTCCTACTAGAGTTTTCCAGCGGAAGAGGGATTATGGTAAGATCGGATGAATAATTAAATGACGTATTGTTTGCATTGGCCAGTCGTCACTTAATTGTCTTTTAAACTTGCAGGTGCTCCCTTATCCATAAACTACATGTAGAAGTCGCATATCGATAATTACTAGGTACACCTACAGCTTTTGGAGCAGGTGCTAAACGACGCGGCAGAAGAAGCCACGTCTCTAGGGCTAGCCAATTAGAGCACTCAAATGCCTCAGCTCTAGCAGTTCGTCAGGGGATCTGCCGCTAATAAACTTTAGGTAGTTACATAGCTTAAAGACCCTTACAGATTGACGTCACATCTTCATCTCTTTTACATCTCGTTCAGCTCTTTCAGCTCTTTCAGCCTTATATCTATCAATTAACTTTGTTTTACCTCTTAAACTTACAAAATAGTTATAATAAAATATACAATTCGATATCCATATAGAGTATAGAAAGTCTTGACACTGCCTCGGCCATTAGCATCTGCACCCCTAGGGAAGTCGTCGGATACCTTTCTCCAGTGGGTAGGTCTATCGAGTACAACCATATCGATACCTAAAGCTGAGGCTGCTGCGTATATGCTTGTTCCAATTCCTCCATGGTCAGGGCTAGAAATAACCCTGTCTACAATAGCTAATGAGTTGGTATTGGTTGTCACATCTATTACGCTACCCTTAAGCTTAAAACCCCTAAGTCATCTCATAAAAATCATCTTGCTCTACCTCCTTTGGTAGTAGAAGAACGGCTTGAAATCAGAGTTTTTCTAACTTAGATATTAGATATCAGCTTGTCTCAATACACAATCTAAAGCTAACCGATACTTCTAGTAAATGCAATTGGTTCCTGGGGGGCGTCTCTTGGTGGTGCTCTCTGCCCATCAAGCCACCTGATTGGCAGATATGCTCCAATGACGAAACAATTAGCAATTATGAGTATGCAATTTAAGTCACCACCTGGCGATATAATAATAATAAGAGACAACTTTCCTTAGTTATCGAAAGTTCATCCGTCATTTATTTTGTATATACACCCAGCCGAAAAAAAGCAAATGGTGGCTTTCTTGACCGATACTCTACCGGAGCAAAATCTACGAAGCCACAACGATAGGCAATAAGAAAAGGGAAAAGGGCCCGCACACGGAACAGACAATGCATGCTGTTAGGCGAGGTCCTGCAGACATGCGTCAAGACCACAGGAGGCCACACGTTGAGACGCCCGACTTGGTCAGCATTTAGGGGCGAGCTTGAGGTGATCTCGCCTAGCGGTCGAAAATTACGCCAGCAGGTAGCCGAGCTATCATTCCTTGCTAGTGAGATATAGGAGGGGTTACCGTATATTCGAAAGGGATGAGACATCAAGATCGGTGAACACGATTCTTAATCCAATAATAGCTTAGGTTACAAGGGTCTATTTCTACGCATTCCATTTTTCAGCTAGGTAATCCGAGCACTTGGGAAACCAGTCAAGTCCATCTGTCAGTATGCAGCTTCGAAACACGACTTGATTTGACATGACAGTCCGTACGGCCTTACACAACCTTTCACTCGGATATGACACAGCCGTTTTCGTGTGGCCTACCGGGGCGTTTCTCTGCGAGACTGCAACAACATGACATGACGACAGGGCGGGAGGGGAATTATTTGCGTTGGCGTTGATGGCGTCGTCATAGCCGCGGACTAGAATCTCCTGTTGATCTGGGGTTGGCTCAGAAATGCAGAAATGCCAAAAAGCAGCCGCCAGACCAGATCGGGATTAAGCCACAGTCCCTCCCATTCACATCATTCACATCATTCACCTCCCCTGCTCCCGATCCTAGGGATGACATCATATCCCAACTCGACCCCTGGTCCTTCTTCCCCCATCGAATTAACCGCATTCCCGTTTATTCGATGATGGCATTCGACACGTATGTGTGTAGGTATGTATATGCCCGTGGAGTCTCGCTTCGGTTACTGCCGTGCGACTGTATCACGACCCCCTCGTCGATTGGTGTGTACATATTTGGTATATATATATGACCTATATATTCGGTATGGGCAACCCATATAAACATTTTCCCCCTACATTATAGTTGAATACCTACTCAATACCCAGTAAAACATATCATCCTCTTAAAACACATAAGACGAAGTGCTTAACCTAGTCCCTTTCTCTCTACCTAAGTTAAGAACAAACAATCCTCCTATTTAATACCACACACAACATGGTAAATCTCGCCCCAGTCAACCCGCGCAACTACATGCCCTCGCGGGCCCACCCAGAACACCGCTCACGGCGCAAGGAGCTCGAAAAAGAGCACCCATTTACGTGGAAAGAGCCGTTAGTACTAGGCATGATCGGCATCGGACTAGCCTGGAACATCGAGAAGCAAGTCCAGAAGCACGAAGAGCGGAAGGGGCGCGAGGAGCAGCAGGGCCGAGAGAACAGCGATCGTCGTCGTCGAAGAAGAGACCAAGAAAGCCGTGACGGCTCATACGATCCTTCGAGCCAGGGCGGCGAGAGCAGGAGGAGCGAGAGCACTAGAGACGGCGAGGACAGGCGGAGGAGCCAACATAGGAGCGGCGGCAGCGATCACAGCGTAGGGAAGGACACGGCGGACCTCGAGCGCAGCAGAAGAAGCACTCGTGACCGCGTGCAGTCGGTTGATATGAGACGGCACGAGGACCCGAGGTATATCACGAACGACCGGTATTACGAGCAATCTCGGTACGACAGGGGATACAACGACGACAACCGGAAAGAATGGGATCGGGAGTATCGCGGTAGAAGAAGCCGTCGCGACTCCTGGTGATAATCCCAACAATATCGCGCATCACTCTCCATCAAGGCCCAGCCCCCCCAGGTCTCGGCGCCCAAGCTACATACTACGCCCCCATGCTCCTACCTAATCCACATCATCTATAAATTGCATATGGCTAGATAGGCTGGGATCTATATCAGTGGGGAGAGTAAGTGGGTATTTACCTATTTGCGACCCCTTTTCAGGAAGAGTATATACTCCCCAGCAATGACCGGCGCCTAGTCGTGTCTGAGGTAGTGAACTATTGAGCCATATGGCCCTTTGTACTTGGGCCGTGGAGAATTGCCCGTCATGACAGCAAAGGTGACGCCGACGCTGCATATACACTTGGACGCTGCTGTATCATATACCGTTACATAAGAATTCATGAGACTATGAGCAATGAATAGCATACGCACATCTAGACTTAGTTTATTTAGTATTCTATTTACCACGTTTCTAAAAATGCAGTTCTACTTAACTCTGCTTCTTTCCGCAGTTTACCCCTAAGCGAGTGTCTTCTCAGCCACCTCAACTAGGATCTCAAAGTGCTTCCTAACGTGATGCTCCTCTACCAAAGGCGTGGCTGGGTTATGCCGGATGGCGAACACGCCGCCGACCACGGTGCTCGACAGGAAGATCCGGCCCTCCTCCACCACGGCGTCGTACATCTTCTTAGTGAGCTCGTTCTGCTCCTCTAGCGTTGACTCCTTCTTCACCAGCTTGAACACCGTTAGCGCGAATCGCGGGCCCGTCACGATCTCGAAGAGGTCCGGCCGCGTCTTGACGAGCTCTCCGAACGTCTCGGCAAGCTTGATGTGCTTCCGGATGTGCGCACGTAGACCCTCGATCCCATATGTGCGTATCACGAACCAGACCTTGAGAGATCGGAACCGCCGCCCGAACGGGATCTGCCAGTCGCGGTAATCAGTTACGAGCCCGGAGTCTGTGTGCTGGTTTCGTAAGATCGGTAGTGAAACGCTTAGGGCGTCTATCAGATGCTTGCGGTCGCGCACCCACACGGTGCTGCAATCAAAGTTTACTAGCAGCCACTTATGCAAGTTTGTGTTGTAGCTGTGAAAGTGCTCGAAGGGCTTCGCAAGGTACTGGTACTCGGGGCAGATTAACGTGGCTCCTGCGTACGCCGCGTCGACGTGCACCCAAATCTCCCCAGGGCCTGCAGGCGCTAGCTCTTTTAAAACCGATACGATACCCTCCATGTCGTCAATACCACACGTATCGGTAGTTCCGAGGGTGGCAGTTAAGTAGAAGGGCTCGAGGCCCTTGGCACGTAGTTCTAAGACAACCCGGCGCAGCTCCGCGCCTGTCATCCGGTAACCATCGGCAGCGTGTACGGGGACGGCGCGGAACCTAACACCAGCGATTTGGGCGCCCTTCTTAGTAGCACTATGGGTGGCGGCGCTACCAAGGGCCACAAGCTTGCTGCGGCGGATAGCAATCGCATCCTCGCGTTCTTCCTCATCGGCGATATGCGCCGTAGCCTCATGCAGATACTTATCACGAGCAGCCACTAAAACAGTGGCGATAGCCTCGGAAGCGGTGCCATGGATGACGCCGCCACCGTTAGTAGGTCCAGTAGAGAGGTAGCAAGATGGTAGGCCAAAAGCCTTAGCAAGCCAATCAAGCACGATGGTCTCAAGCTCAGTAACGGCGGGCGAGCAGATCCAGTTGAAGGCAGCACCGGTGAATGCGGCAGAGTACATCTCGCCAAGCATAGCCGGGAAGCTGCTGGAAGAGGGGAACCATGCCAGGAAGTTGGGTGATTGCCTAATGAATTTCCGTTCCTCGTTAATCTCGAAGTTCTCTTTAGACGGCGACTAACGAATGGATAAGTAAAGAAAGGGTACGAACCAATGTGTTATGCCGGGGAGGATCTTGGACTCAAGATCTTTCTGGATATCAGCCCAAGCCTCGCCATTCTGAGGGGCTTCTTCGGGTAGCAGTTTTCTCAGATAACCAGGCTCAACGTTTGAGACGACACGGCGCTCCTCGATGGTGTCGTAGTATTTGACAACTAGAATAATTTAGTTGTGGTGAGGTAAGACTTGAGAAGGTGAGGAGACTCACTGTCGTCGATAGACGATATAGCTGCCTCCCGAAATTGCTTAGAGTCCATTTTGCTTGCGTTGAAGTAAGTGCCCGTATTCAATTAAGATGTGGTGGAAATGAATTCCCAGTCTCGATGGAAGAATGTATAAGATGTAAGATATAAAATCGAGTTTGAGGATGACAACAATTTTATAATATAACAGGTACCTAAACTAACCTAGACCTAAGACATGCAAGTTACAACGGTATAGTACATTGAGTAAGGTACCTCTTTCCTACCTACGCACAATCAACTTGGTAACTTTGCTCCACCTCCTCCCTAAAACGCAGCCCGGCCCGAATTAAAAACGGTCGATTTCTCACTCTTACACAACCAGACTTATATCGCAAGAAGTGACGCGGATTTCGAGGCCAGTGCTGGATGACTTGGCAATGTAGAGACATGTGTACCTAAGTTTATACAGGTGTCTCATTTTAACTATCGAATTTCGGGACATGCCCCCTTTGGAAGTTACATATCTTCCTACGACCTAAACTTCTCCTGCCACTCCCTATAATGATCCAGCATATCCCTCGTAACCAACTTTGGCGTCTTCTGTATCGCCGTAAGCAGCACCCCCATAGCCGAGATCCCCTCATCCTCATCCGCATCCCAGAACGCCTTGTCGCAGATCCGCGCGACCTCTGCTCCCGAGTACCCCTCAGACTGGCGCGCTAGCTCGGGGATGTCAACGGTCCCGTCTTCCGGGAAACCTAACTCCTTGGCTTTGGCGGCAAAGATTGCCTCGCGCGCCTTAGCGTCCGGCAGTGGCACGTAGATCAGCTCGTCGAAGCGGCCCGGCCGCCGTAATGCCGAGTCTAGAAGCTCCGGCTTATTCGTTGCTGCTAGCACGAACACCTCACCGATGCGCTCGAACCCATCCATTTCTGTAAGTAGCGTGGTGAGCGCTTGTACGCCTCCGCTCGTACTACCGCCCGACCGCGATCCCGCGATCGAGTCGAACTCGTCGAAGAATATGATACTGGGACTGGCCTCGCGTGCTCGCTTGAATAGATTGCGGATCGATCGCTCGGTCTCGCCCACGTACATGTTCAGAAGCTCGCCTCCCTTCACGGCGAAAAAGTTGAAGTCGGATTCTGTCGCCATGGCTTGGGCTGTCATTGTCTTGGAGCAGCCGGGTGGGCCGTAGAGAAGAACTCCCTTTGGCGGCTTCGACATCCTCGCACGAGGACCCTAGTTTTCGTTATTAGCTGCTATTACTTAAATTAGATAGGAAGCTGAAGACGTACCGTAGGGCGCCGGAGAACTCTCTGCAAGGCAACTTTGACATCCTCATAACCGCCAATATCGCTCCAGCGCACGGTAGGCGGCTTGAGGTTTATGTCGTGCATAGCTGTAGGTCGCACCTCGTGCAGTCCTTTTGTCACATCATCCCATATCAGGGGTTCCGTTTTGGAAGGACTTCCCACTCGCTTCCTCCACGCCCTGGTAGCACGATAGAGGACTTTCCGTAGATCTGCGCCGGTATACGCATGCGTCCGGTCACCAAGATCTGATACGTATTGATCAAACACACCCGGGGCGAAGGTTGGTTTGTGATAACGGATGATTTCTTTGCGTCCTTGTGCATCCGGGACAGGAAGACCAACATGTTCCTCGAACCGGCCAGGTCGTTGAAGTTCGTGAGGGATATCGTTTAAGAAGTCAAGGCAGGTAGCAATAACTAAGACATGCGGTCTCCTGTTTTGTTGGCGCGCCCTATTCGATAATGCATCAAGCCCCTCGCCAATTGTCTCAACCATAACCTGGCGATTGGACTGTTCCTTGCCTATTATCTTTGTTATATCATCTAATAAGAGAATGGTAGGACTGCGCTGCTCCAGGGCAGTTTTAAAACAGGTCTGGATAGTTGACGACTTATCACTATAGCCTAATCGAACAACTCTGCCCCAGTTCGTCGCAGCGATATGATCAAGTAACATCGACTTCCCCGTCCCATGACTTCCATGTATAACTATCCCACAGGAGTAAGTTGGTGTAGTGTATCCTTCAAACTCGACATCGAAATCGTTGAAGAATTCGTTAAGTTCTTCTATTTGGCGCTTCATTCCTGGAAGCGGGCCAACTTCTAATTTACCCCTAGTCTGGACAGCGTCTTCGTTGGAAAACTCGACGACCGTAGATCCGGGAGCGTACTTGGCAACACCATCAGCTCTGCCATTTACAGATACAACCACAAACGAGCGCCGTGATCCGTTTAAGACGATTTCATCAAATGACATGCTCGGCAAGATGAATTCAGCTATCTCTATTGATGTTGTCAGACTAACGATACATGAATAGGCGCCGAAAAGTAAAGTATATCAAGAAGGACAGAAGTCAGATTTAAGAACAGAAAACGTTATGATTCTATCGTATATACTTATACATGAACCCATAAACACTACTCTCGTCTTGATCTAGGGGTATTCACCACCAACAGTAACCCAGCTCATGATTTGATGCTACTAAGTGTAAAGAACGAGATTTCGAAAACTCACCTAATCGATTCTCAAGATGATATTGCCATCTCGTCTGCTCCGAAGCAGGTAACGGGACAGGATCCGGGGTTATTTCTCTCATGATAACCGCCCCAGCGTCAGGAACCGGCCCATTGCCGGGAGTAACTCTAGCGAATTGGCCCAGTTCTAGACATGCCAGTTTCTGGAATACTCGACTAATAGAGATAATATTATTGGCAACATTCTTATCTGGAGCTGGCCACGCAACGGCCTCCCACCGAGTAGGCCCATCCGTTTCGACGTTGCAGAGATGCGCGGTAGTGAAGCCCCCTTGAGCAAAGGTGGTGGGATGGATGAAGATTTTAGCTGCGTTTTTATACGTGGGATTCTTCTGGTTGGCTACATCTTGCGGCTGTAGCCGGACTTTGAAGTCGTCTTTCCCCATCGCTGGTGTGTTTTATAGATATATGTATAAGAGGGTTTTAAGTGACTTGAAAATCTTAGTTAATAACCAGGCGGGTCGTTCTTAGTAGATTTATAGGTATGATTGATAGTACTGATTATAATAGTATTAATCATTGTCGGTTATCAACCCTTGGGTGTCTTCTATTTATTTATTTTTTTCGGAAGAATTCATTTATGAAATAGAATCATGAAGTACCTAGGTTAAAGGTGTAGATGGACGAGAAGATATCGCAGCTACGTCTCTTGTGGGATTAGATCACCTGCAGTTAAAAGCACAGTGTGGGAGCCACTACGGTGATACCAAGTAGGTACCCAATCAACCCTATTTGTACTACTCTATATATACCTAGGCTATCTTCATAGCGCTATACCAGAGATAATACAGTATAGATTGCAACTTCCTTTCCAAATTCTAAGCCCTACAAAAAAAAGAGAAAGTTGATTAGTTCAGCTCCAACTTTTCCAATTCTCTCCAGCTTCGACTTACTCGAATCTGCACTACACTGCAATGCGCTGGGCGTCACAACTCGCCCCCTCATGCTCCTACGACAGCTCCACAGGCCATCTTCACGATTGGTAGCCGTAGCAGCATGGCGATTATCCCATACGGCGTTGCTGCACGGTAGCACCACCAGTCCACCAAACCCCTCCACCTCCTCCCCAACACCCCCCCAGACCAACAGGGACAGCGACGGCGACAGCAACAGCAACAGCAACAGCAACAGCAACAGCAACAGCAACAGCAACAGCAACAACCAAGATGACGCACCACAACCCGGACGCCCACGCCCACGCCGACGCCCCTCCCTCTTCGCGCTGCTCTTCCCCGACGAAGCCAAAGCCCTCGGCAAAGACACCCCTCCCAAACCCTCCTGGGCCTCGCATCTCCTAGACGACCCCCCGCAGCCCTCCCCTGACACCGACCCCAACGACGCCGACGCCGACGCCGACGCCGACAGGAAGTCCGGCGACGTGCCCCTGCGCGCGAAGAGCATGCTCATCCTCTCCGCCGCGAGCAAGCACCTCGCCGAGAGCGACTTCCTGCGTCTCGGGCCCCAGGGCGCCCACGTCGAGGGCTGGGTCGGCGGCATCTCGCGCGTCATCCAGGCCCGCGACCCGGACACCCTGCAGCCGCTGGGCCACTACTTCGTGCTGTTCGACCGGGAGGCGGCGGCTGCCGCGTACTGCGACGAGGTCGAACGCCTGTGGCAGCTGGGCAAGGCCCACGTGCCGGGCGCGCATCACAGGAAAGGGCCGTCCCCCGCGGTACCCGCGCCCCCGGGCCTGCCGTCCGCAGATGGCAGCGGTCGCGACGTAGCGGCCGACCTGGCGGCGTTCACCCTGGTGCCGCCGAGCCAGCGGTACTACCTCGACGTGTCGAGCGGGTTCAGCCGCGTGCGGATCGAGGAGCTGGATATAGGCGGCGTCGCGTTCGTCGACCGGCTGGCCGACCGCGCCGGGTCCAAGCACCTGGTTCTTGTTTCCGTGGACGGGGGACGCATATCGCTTGATTGGCTGCGGCAGGCCATCGAGGAGGACGGCAAGGATCGGAATCTGCCGTGGCGAGTGACGGATCTCGAGAACGGTATCCTGCCCTTTGGGAAAAGCATCCTCAAGCAGGAGGATAAGGACGCTCATGACTTCGAGCAAATTCTTCGGGACCAGGCTGCACGGGTAGCGGGGGGTGAAGATGGGGCTAGTGGTGAAGGGGACGTGGAAGGGCAAGGGGTTGAGGCTAAGGAGTCGAGCATAGCAGACGATAGGGGGTATCGCCGGTATCCCCGCTTCATCATTCCGTTCGTGGATAATGCCGAGGCGCACCGCTTCGTGAGGTATTGGCACCGGCGGCAATTCAAGATACGTATGGACTTCGAGGGGGATAAACCGGCAACGTGGGACGAGACTAGGATACTCAATACCTCAGTACTGTGGTGATGAGTACATACATACATACATATACATTCCACTTAAGCCAGCCAGCCAGCAGTCATGTTTCACGGCCCTATTTTACGTACTTAGAAGTACTTCAGCCTTCATTAGTGACATATCATTCTACGCAATACTAAATAGAAGAGCGAATGGCCTAATACAGGCATCAAGGCTTTTCGTAACGTATATACTTGATCAGAAAGAAGAACCGACGATGACTGGAAAATGTATTAGACCCATATCAACCAAACTCCGCCAATATAGTATCGCCCTCACTTAAGCCCCCCAGGCCTCATTCTTCCTATGTAGTTGTGTGTGTTGTGTGTGTGTGTGTGTCATGTGTGGCTCTGAATGTCTATCGTGAAGCAAGCTAGCCTTTGCCCTTGCTCTCTTCTTTCTTTCTGGCTAGCTCCTCCTCCTCCTCCTCTGCCTACCCCCGTCCCCCCAGGTAATACAACATTCGTGCTTCTTTCGGTCCTCGGGGGTGTTTCCATAAGTCATATGCCTCGGTCTACAGTAAACTTTCGCTTGATAACATGAAATGTGTGCCAGGCCACCTCTCCCAGCTTGACTACCCAGCTTGGTGGCTGGCCCTTACTCTCTCTCTCTCTCTCTACCATCGCCATATTATCCTCTCGCTTCGAACAACTTCTCGCCAGCCCTTAGCAGCACTTGCCTAGGCCGCTGCTCTGTCCCGAGGACACATTGACGCCCTGGCCACCGGCCGCAGCGGCCTGCTGCGCGGGGCTAATGTCGGTGAGACGCTTCTTGATGTCGCCGGCGAGGCTATAGAAGGCCTTGTCGATGTTGATATTGCTCTTGGCGGATACCTCGAGAAAGGGGATGCCGAGCTCCTTGGCAAGCGCCTCGCCTTGTTCCGTCGACACCACGCGCTTCTCTTCCCAGTCGCACTTGTTGCCGATGAGGATCTTGTTGACGCCTTCCGTGGCGTGCTGCTCTACGTTTGCGAACCACGTTCGGATGTCTATATCACAGGGTCAGCACGGAGCCTCAAAAACGTTGGCGTAATATAAGCAAGCTGTTATCGATAATTCCTACGGCTCACTTGAGCTCCTCTCAACGCTTCCATATGAGGGTGTAGGGCATATATATAGCTAGGGTGATGATTGGGAGCTCTTACTCTCGAAAGATCGCTGGTCTGTGACATCGTAAACCAAGAGGATGCCCATTGCGCCGCGATAATAAGCCGTCGTGATAGTTCGGAATCGCTCCTGGCCAGCAGTATCCCAGATCTGCAGCTTCACGCGCTTACCATCGAGCTCGATCGTGCGGATCTTAAAGTCGATGCCGATAGTCGTGATGAAGGACGGTGTGAAGGAGTCTTCGCTGAACCGCAGCAGACAGCACGATTTGCCTACTCCTGAATCGCCGATTAGGAGTAGTTTGATCTATATATCAAGACCGCCGTTAGTATACTTGTGAATGCATATGGGCTAACAGCCAGTGCAAGACGGAAGGGAAGCCATGGCTTGAAGAGACCCTCGATGACTAAACCTTCGGGTGGTATATCATCTCTCCAGCCGTTGCGTGCGGCTCGAAGGGGGAGGCTGTGAACGTACTAAGAAGTCGTAGTTTCGGTTGCCCGACATTTTGTAAGAGGTCGCTCGTCGTGGACGGCAGAGAAAGCTACGGCGAGTATTTGATCGATCGTATTCTTTGTCGAAGAAGAGTTTGACGTAAACGCGATTCCTCGAGTTTCTTGATATTGTTCGGTTAGATGTCAAACGGGACGACGTGTCGTCAGAGGTGGCAGTAATGCTAATAGTAGCGGTAGCGGTAGCGGTAGCGGTAGGCTGGTAGCGTTTAATGTTTAATGGAGTTAATGGGAATGATAACTAATGATAATGATAGTGGCACATGTAATGTAGGTACTCTTGGCACAGGAGTAAAAAACAGCTATCTAACTCGGTTTGTACTAGCATGCAGGAGTACGGTGCACAGGGCTTATGGTTTCGGAAAGATAGAGCCTTCAATTGAATATTGAAGGTTTAACCTAGGTTTAAGATCTTTAAGATCGATAAAACATAAAACAACGAAAAAGGGTGGTCTACATGTACATACCTAGGTACTTAGGTATGTATGCATTTACACAGATGGCAACTACGTGTAATCAACAAACCTAAGCAACGGTGTGCATTTTTACAACCTAACAACTTAATCGAATCGTTGGCCCAAACGAGGCAGCCTCAACCCTTCCCAGGTCGGGCAGGTGATTTACCTCTATATATTACCTACCTATGTACCTACCTGTAGACACCTAAGTCGCATTAACCAAAGCAGAGCTATCACGCCCTAAGCGGTTGGTTTTTAGCGTGTAAATACCTATATACCTACCTACATACCTATAACCCCTGAGTACCTAATGTAGGTACCTAATGTAGGCACCTAATGTAGGTACCTCCATAAGGAGCTCAATGATAGGAAATACGTGGCTGCCTTTTGCCGGCGTACCTGGCTTATGTCAGAATGGTGGTGGGCACGAATTAGGTTACCAGGGGAGCGCTCCAGACATGTATCTACTTATCTACTATGCACATATGCATCTATTCAACATAGAGCTGCTTCGTTGAGACGCATTATCAGGTTAGGTACCTAATAGAAAAGGGGCTTATCGACATGTCTCATATTTACATGGTACTTCTTTTTCAACCGAATCCCATCATAATATTGAACATGTATTGAGCATCTCAGTTGTTTATTTGATACAACTATAGACAAATGTTATTCTAATCCGGAGTTTATAAGACATAATACCCCCCTGATCCGTCACATGCATTCGCTAAAATGTTCCAATAGCGACTTTGGGTTCGTGCAATTATTTCAACCACTTAGAATATGCCCAACGTATTCTATCCAAAGCTCGCAGCTGTGATTGGATGCCCTTGAGGTTAGCAAGGTCATCCAAGTCTTCCAAGAAGTCTTTCTCAATGTCGGCTGGGAGGAGATTATGTGCAAGTTGTCGAAGGACGTGAACCTCACATACGAGGAGACCGTGGTCTTTGTAGGATATGAGGTTGTTAGACGAGGGCGTCGCTTCGGATAAGATGCGGTCAATATTGCGTAGAACTCGGACGCATTTGCCGGCTCTCCGGTGTTCTCGGAAGCCTTTTCTGCCTCCGAACACACCACGGAGGTATTGCATCACTCCAATGGACACGAGAATACCAGGTGTAAGACCTACGAAGCCAAATACAAGTTCCTGGCTTTTCAGAAGGGCATCAATCCCGCTCATGGCGACTTCGATGTCAACCTTTGTCTTTTGAACCTGAATGAGCAGCGTTCGGACCAAGTCACCTCGCACCGTACCCATAAAGGGGCTGCGTAGGTCTTTTTCGTACGCGCGAAGAATCGGTGTCACATCTCCCTCCCGGACCTTGGCTCTGATTTCGGCAACCTGTAACTCTGATATTGACGAGGCGCCGGTTGCCACATTCGGCTTATCGAGAGCAAAGTCGACGACCATACGCTCTAAGCTTTCCCTGTCCGCCTTCAGGCTATCCCGACTCATGATAGCAATCTCGCTATTGTCGTCGTGGCGGATAGTGCCAACAACCTTTCGAACAGGATCGATAACCCAGTTGAACCAGAAGTCACGAACAGTTACGCCAAAGTCACTAACCCACTGCAAAATCTCCTGTTTTCTATTGACCAAGATGCGGAGAATCGTAGACGAAGAGAGGAGAAGCGCAGTGGCAGGGAGCCAGTATCTCACGAGTCTTGACGGTCGTCCATTTTCTGTTAGTAGTTTTTCTGCTTCTCCAAGGTGTTGCGGCAATTGAGTTTTTAGTAAGTCCTGAAGCCTTTTAGCCACTACAGCCGGGCGATTTGTTTCGTCTTCGTCGGCCAGGATCGACAACTCAGGATCCTCTTCAACGCCAGCAAAGACTCTATCTTCAAAATCGGCAACTCTGACATCCAATGTCAGGACGTCTTTGAGGACCATGTCCATTAGAGCGACGCTTCGCTCCACGACACCTTTCCATTCTTGATTAGCTGAGAGGATCATATCACTCTTACCGTCATCACTTCCGTTGCTGTTGAAGGCGAGACCCTCGTCGATTAAAACACCCAGGCCGCTCGAGGTCATTTCTCTAAGCCTTTTCAGCTTAGCTTGCTTCTTACGGGCCTCGGACCGACAAAGAGCAATGGGGGACAATATCTTCCTCTGCATGTTGGCGAGCGACCTTTCGTGTATGGTCTCTCGCACAATATTGTAGAATTGGCTCCATCGTTGAGCTGCTCCGGCCTGTATCGACTCTACATTGGATTCGCTTACCAAACCAGCGACTGAAGTGCCACCTCTAGTGTACTGTTGAAACCTAGTCTTGCTGTCCTTGTAGATTTCCCTAGTCCAAGCCCAGACTCGCATAGGGGAAGTTTGCACCAGGTATATACTGCTGTTCGTCGGAGACGACAGCACATCGTCCCAGTACCAGATGTGGTCACTCAGAGGAATGATCTGATCTAACAGAGTATCCAAAATAATACCGTATGTTTGCACAGTTGCCTTGCTAACCAATCTCCACTCGAGCTCAGCCTCGTACTGGTTCGCCGATATCTCCTCAGTCTCGTCCGAGAGTAACTCCGACTGAGATAGGAGAGACTGGATATTCCGTGCGGGGAGGGTACTTTGCGATCCCGAGGCAGCCGATAGGGCTTTGATGATCCTCAGCAGTTCTTTCGCACGAGGACTATCCAAGTCTATCGAAGCTTGGGTGGCGTCATAGCTCGTCAAGTGGCTAAAAGGGATGCGGTCTAGCTGCGCGTCCAACCGCCGTACTTGACTGAACAAAACAAGGTCTGAGCCACATTATCATCACTGGTAGAGATGCTCTTTTGTAAAACTTACTCCGCCACTAGGGACATTTTCTTTCTTTTTTTTTTTCTGTTGGAATTTAAACCACACGTACAAATCTTCTGTAAAAAGGAGAGATTATATGGGTCGATGCTCGGATGTACGGCCGGACATAATCGACTTGTCTAATTCTTCATATCATGACGGGGTCTGTTGAACCCTTGTAAACTGCGGTCTATCTAGGCAATCGAAATGGAAGCTCTCCGCAATGATGACTGGCAAGTTGCCGGGACCTTTTTGGATGTGAGTTAGGCTGACGGACCAATTGGGAAATTCAAATACAACCTTCCTTCCTTCAACGTTACCGTATGGATCTTGGGAAACGGCTACAATGAAACGATCTGAGGTTGCGGTGTGCCGGATGCAGATTTGTTTCTCACAAGTCGAACGTTGGTCAGTCGATGTTTATTGCTGAGTTGTGCCTGTTTGATGAGGTCATAATAGCGAAGAAAAAAAAATACAATTCAAAATTCAAGCTTCTCAAGCTTTGACAGCAGTGGCTGCTCTAAACTAAATAGGGTAAGGTACATGGGTAAGCACAGAGCAACATCACTCTTTTTGGCAATTGGTTGTTGGGTTAGGGTAAGAGCAAAAATTAAAGCAGATCGGAGCCGTCCCTATCCGATCAGGTGATTTGGCTGGGCTGCCGGAGGCTCGCCGTGGATTATCCGATAAAGTTATCTGATCAGCTAACATAAGTACTTAGGTACGTTGATGTATAGGTATTGTACGTTGATGCATCCATCTAAACTAAAAGGGTCCCCGAGCTTTTAGCGTTTTAGTGCAGATTTTCAGTGGCACTAAGCCACTAAACAGCTCGGAATACGAATACGATAGCCACATTTACTCCAAGTACCTTCACTATGTACCTAATGTACATACCTACCTAGTTCAATGCGCATTAGAGTTGTGTTTCCCCTGATGCAGCTTCTCCACATTTTGATGCGTGAGCCGGGACGGATACAGCAAATTCCAAGTGGTCTCATGGTGGCAGCATTCGAATGATTGGTCGTACGTCTGGTAATTAACCAGGATCTCCTAAATTTCGAAATCTCCAATCTCTCCTTATCGCCTCCTACCGCCTTTATTTTCTAAAGCTACAACAAATAGCAGCCGTTGTCTCGCCCTTTTTTCTCTCCCCTTCACAATTTCCAGCGTCGGCACAGCTCCTTAGCATTCCTACCTTAGCATTTGGGTCTTTCTTTCACTCATAGGAGGGTTTGTTCAATCGCTGTTGGTTTACCTATATTCCCCTTTTCGCCACCATGGCCACGATGTAAGTTCGCTTTACCCCTTAACTTCGAGCGCGTCTTTTAATTGAATTTGGATACTAACGCGCTTCGCAGAAATGCCACTGTCGCTGGCGTCTTCAGCCATCCCGATACGTATCTAAACGTATTCGAGGAAGTCACAAAATATAATGTTCACCTCAACGTGGTAGAGCGCGCTTGGGCGGTTAGTTTACCCATAAATTTCACACCGTCCAGGTACGAACAAGCGACTGACTCAGTAACCTAGGCCTGGTATCTATGGATGCAGAACGACACGTTAGCGACGGGTATCATGAGTTTCCTCATGCACGAGATCATCTACTTCGGCCGGTGTATACCCTACATGCTCCTCGACCGTATCCCTTTTTTCAACCGCTACAAGATCCAAAACCAGAAGATCCCGACGTGGAAAGAACAGTGGGAATGCGCCGCCCTGGTTCTTCTCAGTCATGTTACCGTCGAACTACCTCAGATTTGGCTTTTCCACCCTATCGCTACTTACTTCGGCATGGACTACGGCGTTCCCTTCCCTAAGCTCTCGACGATGGCCCTACAGATCGCCGTCTTCTTCGTTGTTGAGGACGCATGGCATTACTGGTTCCACCGAGCACTGCACTACGGTCCCCTATACAAGATGATTCACAAACTTCATCACACCTACTCCGCCCCCTTTGGTCTGGCTGCTGAATACGCCTCGCCGATCGAGACCATGCTCCTCGCTCTAGGAACAGTCGGAAGTCCCATTGTCTGGGCTTCTCTAACCGGAGAGCTTCACCTATTCACTATGTACATGTGGATTGTCGGTCGTCTATTCCAGGCCATCGACTCTCACAGTGGATACGACTTCCCCTGGAGCTTGAGGCATTTCCTGCCCTTCTGGGCCGGTGCTTTCCACCACGACGTCCACCACGAGAAGTTCATTGGAAACTACTCCTCCAGCTTCACATGGTGGGACTGGATGCTCGACACCGAGTCCGGTCCCGAGGCTGCCAGGCGCCGCCGCGAGAGGAAGCTCAAGTCTATCAAGGCCAAGAAGGCCGAGTAAAGGGGCTCCATAGCCTCGCAACATTAGGATATGCACTGGGACGGTGGGCAGGCCAGCTAGTGGCATTCCGCCGATTTCCGATGCTTGCTCCTGGCCATCAAGATTGATTGTTGGCCGTTGGGAGGAGAGATTGCCCGATTCCACAAGACGCGGCACCTAAGGGAACGATACTTTACGATTTTCGTCGATCGTTAATTCTATAGACATGGGGCTGGCCGACTTAATACAACTTTGTAATTGTGACGAAGAGAAGAGACAACTACTATCATAGATTAATAATAACCTGAACATCCTTCATTGGAACTTTCAAAAAGACTTATCGAGACATTTCTAGCCTTTGGGCAATAGCGGTGAAGTTGTGCTCGTGTTCATTCGTAAATTTCCTTGCTTCGTATGACTAGGTACTTGTGGTAAGCGGCCTAGTTGTACTTTATACTACATCTCACCTGTTGACCAGATCGGCCAGCCTGAAGTTGGTCATGGTCATACAGATAAAAGGTCCCAAAGATGTCTATTTTCCGTTATGGCCTGATGTCTCGGAGCTGCATGATCTCTGTTTTTGTTCTTTATTTCTTGGGAGTACAACAATCACCCGCGTTGGCGACAGCACGGTCAGCCACCCGTTTTAGCTCGCAGCTATCGGTCTCCTCGATAATCTCACCAAAGTCACTAGCGAGGCAGTCGCAAATCGCAGCCAGCTCGACGTCCTTGGTGGAGAGGCCCTTCAGATTATGCGTTGTCCACCGGATATATGTCGTATTATAGACCTGTGCGATAATAACGATCACATGAGTCAGCCGTTGTATTCCACAGGTCAGCAGATAGACAGCTCATGCGTTCCATCTGGTAATAAAAAAGATAATATAAGTCTGTTACGGCCAAACTCTCCACCTTTTCTAAAGACGACGGCGGCGATTTGTAGTCTTAGCTGACGAGCTTTGGTCTAGAGTTTACGTTGGCTCTAACACTGGCGGGCACGTGTGCAGGACGCATTCTCTTTTTATAATAAACGAAGGGACGAATGAAAGGAGTACAGTAGGGGGCACCTTACGTTGGACCATTCCGGGTGGTGGTTTCTGAGCTTGCACTGCAGTGACACTGCAGTCATAAAGTCCTAATACAACCAACACGATTAGTCGAGTCTACATTATCATTCGCAGCTAGGGCTTGTTGAGATGGATTGGCCATGCGGTTGTGAAGATCATATGGGCTTTTGAGTGTCAGGTCAGATCTTCCCGGGATCGACTACCCCGAGGACCTGGTGGCACCATTTCATCCAGCACTCGGCTATATAAAAACCAGTCGAGAGCCAAGACTGGCGAATAAGGACCCGTGTGGAGTCAGCAGAAGACTTCATTGCTCTCTCGTGACTAGCCATACGTTGCGTGGTTGGTCACGGCGCTTCTTTTCCCGTGTTCAGTATTGAAAATTGTATAGTGACGAGGTGCAACTCGCGCCGGGAACCCTGAAATTACGGTATCCCGATGTTTACGCCCCCGGAGGTCGACCGATCATGCTAGCAGCACCCAAAGGTAAACCTATCTGGGGAATAATTCGGGAAGCCATGTTACCCAGCTAGTCAGTCATTCAGGCTCAGCCCACCGGCAATTGTCGATGTTCCCCAGACCCTCATACACAGGTGCAGGTAAGGGAGATGATGCAAGAGCGGCTCTGTTCCAAAGAGGGGAACCCTCGGGAACGATTGCGGCCGAATAAAGCAAATGCCGTGGCCAGAGGTAGACGAGAAGGGAAACCAATGGTACGACAATGGAGACGCGGAAAATGGGTATGGTATGGTATGGTATGGCTTGGCTGACTCACCCACGTCTTCGCAAACGTCTTGAACTTGAAGCTCCTCTCCAGACCCTCGCCGCTAGCGACCAGTACCCACCGACCACCATACCCTGCTGATGCCAGCAAAGTCTCTAGGGTCCGTGTTAGAGCCGGCTCGTCGACGCCAGCCGAGAACTGGGGAGCAGGTTGGGAATTCGGGGGGCTTGCCATGACTGCTGCTGAAGTCGTGAAAGTTCGGCGAATCTGACCCTGATCCTGATCCTGATACAGGAGTGAGCACCGGCGAGAGGTTGCAACCGCCTGTGCGCCTCGGCGTGTCGCCCCGACGGGTTTGGTCGCAACTTGTGGTGCCTTAGCGGCAGTCCTCACGTAGTAAAGCAAAGGGCGCGTGTACCGGTTATACATTAGACGCGGCACAGACTATTATTAGATGGTAGAATGGATATGAGAATGGATATGAGGTGGTTTATGGTGGTGTAACGTGTAGAGTCTTGTCATATATACCACCTATAAGAGCTCTGGGATGCACACGGAAGCAGATTGCGAACTACCCTGGTATGGTCTTGGCTAAGGGTTGGGAAATGAATATGAATGGTTTAACGTAGCAAGTTGCTACAAAATATTTGATATTTCCATCATTTATTTTCTAACGCTTATATGGTGTAAGTCGGATAATCAGTCGTACTAACTTAAGTCATTTTCAGGTGGTCTAAGCTCATGTGCCACCTACTGGACGTACCTTCTCATATTGAGCTGCATGTATGGAAGTAACAGTCGTCACTATATAGAGTTTATTACATAGGTACCTACCTAACTTACCTAAGGTATTACAATCATATACATGTAGATATATGTATGTATTGTACCTTAGGTAATTTGTTATCTTCCACCAAAACTTACAATGGTAGGTAGGTACATAGGTATACAACGTAGCCCCTTTTCACTTCCCGAGACACTCGGCGATTAAAGCTGCAAAAGTTGCCGAAAATCGGGTACATTGTAAGGGCACGGGTCGCTTTATCATACCCCATTAGGGCTAACGTTCTCCTTTTCCAAATCTATGTCCGTGTCCCGACCCCCCGTATCGTCGATTGATGTGCTGTCAGCAGACGGCGGTGACAAGTTTTCGTCTTACCAAATTAAGTACAGCAGTTTTTAACGGAGGCAGGGTCTCTCTCCTTGTTAATTTCCGGTGCGTCGCGGACCGGACCACCTATGTTTCCCACGTGGAAATCTCCTTTCTCATCCCGCTGTAAGCCTGATATTACCGATGAGAAAATGGGAAGACAACTACACCGCCGCTGGGGCTGGATCTGCTTACTCCCGGTCGTAATGTTGCCCTGTGACCAACAGCGTCCAAATTATATAAATGAATGGATCGAGTGATTTTCCTATTTGTTTGTCATCGGATGCGATGATATCCCGTTTCGCGCCTCGCTCCTATATTGCTAACGTCCTTGAGGCTCAGCATGAGGATTATCATCTCCTAACATGTAAAACCCGGGTATTGAACTTCTGAATCGCTTTCGCGTTCGTTAAACTCCGGGATTTATGTACCCAGTACAGGAGATCCGGAGTTTTAAATACGTAACCGGGGTGTATTCCTGGCACGCGATTCCCTAATAAGCAGTATTTTTACACTTGGAGCTAGTATATTGGCTCAAATTGGAAACTCATTTATGCTTCCCGGTCTTAAGCCATGGATGAACGGCACAGGCATTTGTACTCAAGCACCGTGATCGATCAAACCCAGGTTGGTTTTAATACAATGACGTTCTGTTATGTCTGAGTTCAGTTGCCTAGCTTGCTAACGGTGTGATTTGCTAATATAGTCTTACTAAACAGGTTTTGATGGACTTAGACTGGCTGTGTTAGAGAAGTAATCCTCATTTACTCACAGACACAATGTCTTTTATCGGCGGTTGTCTTAGTCGCTAATGGGCACACTGTCGACCAAGTTCCTCCATGATACTACCTACGAGCCCTTTTTTGGCACAGTCAGCACCTTCTAGGTTATCCTTTGCTGATCATCAATATTCTCAGTCTGCTGGGGGAATAGCGCATATAGGAATTTCACACACGCAATTATTGTGTACGAAATCTTAAAAAGCGAGTTAAGTTTAAATAATCAGAAGAATGTATTTATATCAACAAAGATATAAAGACAAAAACTATTACGTAAACCTACTTACCTAAGTAAGTTGTTGATAAATATTTATAATCCTTTTAACCCTATCCCGCTATAAGAGTTATTAAATCGATTATTTCTAGCTAGGTAACCGACAGTTGGAGTTGTTTTCTCAAGCGTTATATCCGCTTGAAAATACCCGAGTTCTTACCGCGCAATATTATAAAAAAAAGTGTTGAGTTTAGTATAGACCTTAACACCAGTACTATAATATCTCGGGCTTTTTTAGTCCCAGTGTTTAACTTCTAAGTACACTTATAATAGGGCCGGTTTATGTACTTAATAGTTGCGGTTACTTCCAGTCCTATAAAAGGCACTGTTGTGTTAAGGAGGAAGGGTTATACAACTATAATGAGTAGTAATAAAACTTACATAGTACATAGTAGATTATCCTATAGCGATCGATGCCGAGCTATAGTCTCAGCACGGGCGTAGGTAGATCACATACATACAAACAGGTTTGTATCATATGCAATGTCAGCACCAACGCGTTCACGCCACTTTGAGACCCCTTCGTTCCGTATTCCTAATTGGGTTCTATTGCAGACCAACAGATCGGCGCTGCTGGCCTACATAGGTCTAAGATGACTTGTTCGAGGTCTGTTAGTCATCGGTGCAACTGGCTCACGGATGCACTACATATATGAGCGAATAACTATAATCATACCCTTATCTCCGACAGGGTTACGATCTTTACATATGTAATAAGACAGCAGGACGAGCTGAAAGATGCAAGCTACTTAATATGTAGGTACTATTCCATTTACATAATAGTAGTACTTAACAACAAGGATCAGTTTAAATAACTCTATCGGGATTACCGGGAATAATAGGGTTTAAGATCTTCGACTGTTTGTATAGATTATACATTTTGAGCTAATATTTATCGATGAGACCTTAACGACCTAGTTGGCAAATTACTATTGTCGATTTGTCTCTAGTATTCCGGCCCGAGAACATACGTTTCTACATTTTAATGGAACATATCGTTGCTATCCGTATAAAACGTGGAGGTTATTAATCTTATGTCAGTCGAAATGGCCGGTTTTAATATTGATTAACAGCGTACCTAAGTAGATAGGCTTTAATGATGCTGGCATGACGTGAGTGGTAAGTGCTGAAACCGACCTACAGCCTCTACATAGTTTATTTTATCTCCTAAAATATGAACCAGATCATGGCACATAACCCACTTATATTAACGAATGAAACACTGAGGAAGACTCGATGTATACTCTCTTGGGAATAGTGTAAAAATTTCAGCTAATCAGATCTGGGTGGAGTATGTGTTTACATTGGTATTTTTCATTTTAGGAGATAAGCCGCCTATAATTGGTACTGGGCGTGCATTCAAAATGTAAAGACGGTCTGCCATATAATATGATAGGATACCGCTGGCTGATATTAACAGGACTAAGGTAACATAAGGATCCTAGCTATTAAGTTGCATCTCCAACTTCAAAGCTGTGAGCGGTGTTGCGGCGCCGGGGTATGAATGCAATTCAACGAAGCAATTTCAGGCATCAATATGGTCGGCTGCTTACACGTTGCCAACCTTCTAGTCGAAGGCGCAGTAAACTCAAGATCATACCCCAAAAGGATCATACGGCGGACGCAAACCGGAAGACTTTGCCATGGGCGAAGGAAGCATTGCAGATACGCGAGAAACATTTCCTTCACCTGAGGGTATAGAGATGATAACTAGCCTATGGGTCAGGATAGTCTCGTAAATCCTTCTCGATTCTCCTTCTCCTTCTCCTTTAGTTATCATGAACAACCGGCCTATACATTGTCAAAAGTCGAGTGATTATCAGCCCATTGTATTGTGTTGATAACATAAGTAAAACAGGCGAAAATATATGCCGTAAGTTGATCCAGCATTCTCGCGATCAAGCGGAGGATGGATCGACCAGGATTACTAAAGCAACTATACAATATGTAGAATCGGCTTTTCACTTTGCCTTGGGGTAACTTAAGGCTCGTCTAAGTCGCTGAAACCCTTCCGTTTCTGTTGGCGGCAAACAGAGTAAGCGGTAAAAGACGCGTAATTAAAATCAAATGTGAACCTAACAGCGCAAAGGACGGACTTGTTGCCGACGACCGCCGCGGAACGCCAAGACTGCCAGGGAGGTGTGGAATATATTGGCCGGCGTATCAATCTCGATTTTTCCAAGACGGTTGGATTGGACGATGTGATGTTGAAACTAAAAAGAAATTACCTAGGTACCTACGTTAAATGTTGAGTATTTGCTACCTAGGCACTTAAGTATGTGAATAGGTATAAAAGTCTTATTCCCATTTAAATATTAAGGTAGACAGTCATATACTTCGTCTGCATCTGTACCCGGATACCTTAATATGAGGCTCTGAACTTTACGTTGGACCTATCGGCAGATTCGAATTAGGTACATAGGTACCTTAGGTACATGTACCTAACATACACGAGAGTACATACAGTAAGATTGTATGTACTATCAGTTAATATGCGATTACCTAAATGTAGCATTATACACGTGACAGTGTTACTAATATGAACGGTACCTAAGCATGAATAGGCAGTTAAATTCCAATTGTTTTTCAAGCCTTAACCGGCTTTGAAACTTCGGACCTACTCCATTTGATGTTGCTGTTTCGATAGGGCATGGTTAACCAGATCTCGTCACGGAAAGTTCCTTTTAGTACTTAGACTAACGAGGTTCCGTCGTGTCATCATCCAATCAACTTAGTATCGCATAGAACCATGTGCATACATACATACATATGCACATCGTACATCTCGATACCACATGTAAGTAGGTTGATATAACTGGGCTGCCGAAAACCCAAGCAGGGAAGCATGTTAAGTAATGAAACCGTGCCCTCGGAGGACAACCTCTTTTAGCCTGTTGTATCACGTAAGTCCGCGGTTGGAACCCGCGCATTGATTCGAGTTGAATGTTATTAGTTAACTAATGAAAAGTTGATGAAACTTTTTTTTTACGACATGTGTTCTAGCGGCCGTCATTTATCCAAGGTTCTTTTGTCATACTGTGACACCTTACGTAATGTAATAAATAGTATGTACCACCAACACGCAAAAGGATTGAAGATGCGAACCTTTATTTTCTTCATTAGAAGAACAAGGTGTCGCTCTTTAAAAATCCGTACCATACTATCGCCCCGGGGGTGTGTGTATAATAATTGGAGAACCGTATAGCCGAAGGAGTTCTAAAACCCGACGCTGAGCCTACAAAGTAGGTACCTAACCTAGGTTAGGTAACTATGCGAGAAAAGGCGTAAAAAAAGTCCGATCTTTATTACTAGTCTCTTCGTCACCCAGTCCAACCCCATATTATAATACCTTACTTAATGTTATACCTGAGTGTCGTAAGATGTGTAAATCGTCTTTACATATATACCAGCGCATGACTTAAGGAGGTCCTTATGCTGCTCATACGAGATGTAAGCACTTATTAAGTACTTGTAAATACGCTTTGATAGGAGTTATTGCGCACGTACACATGTTCGTACTAAGCAAAGTATGTACGGGCGTAAATGTGGGTTGGGAACAGTTGCCTAGAAGGGAAGGGGGCAGTCATAAGTAGTGCTGTAATGCTGTACGACGGCAGATGAAAGGAAGAGGAAGCGGGTACGCAAGACTAGCGAATATCATACAAGCGCGGCTATAGCAACGATTGGCTTTAGCTAAAGGAAGCAGCTCGGCCGATGGTGCGGATTCCGAATTTTGAATTCTACATCATTAGGTACCTAAAACTAAAGTTGTAATGTGAGGAGGTATCAAGGTATAAAAAATACGTTATGTACGTAAGTATGTGTAACCGCTACCTGGGGTTACCTAAGGCGCATTATGTACCTTAGGTACATATAAATGTACTTGACGTAGTGGCCTTAGGCAATTCTTTCTACCTGGGATCATTATCATCCTGTTTTGGGTATCAATTTTCAACTTGCTCGTTCGTTGTGGTTATTGCTATTGTTATTGTCATTATTATCATTAGCTAAGTTACACGGGTGACAAACCAACAATGATTACAAAGAGGGCACATCAACCATTCAGGTGCCTTCATTCCATTGCAGGTACCCACCAAATTCTCCCGGCAGTTCGCTATGCCTTGTCTACCTGTTACGCCCAAGTATTCTGAGATAGGGAATTGATTTTTTTCATTCTCCATGTTCATATTCTTCTTTTTCGTGCTATGGATCTATCATCCTTACAGCCCTACAATTCTAATTTCCATTCGTCCACTTGGGTTACGCTTGGCTGCAGTGGCACCTAGCTACCATTAGGTACCTACCTAAAGTACACTACCTTACACAGGTACTTAGTCTTGGTAGTTACGCATCGGTTGCACATTTAGGGCCAACACAAGCTGCAGAGTGCTGACAAACCAACCTCACCTTAAACAAATCTGTGATCAACCCTCGTTAGGTCTTATCCTCGGACATTTCGGCCGTCCACATATACTGTACCTAGGTAGGTAGGCAATTAAACCGCCAACAGGCAGCTTAATAACTTTTAATACCCCACCTATATTGCCTGTTTACCTATTTCTCTTTGTTGGCGGCGTATCCATTTTTTTTAAACTTTTGGACACTGTGTATGGTACTTATTCAGTTAATCCAAGCATCTTCGCACAAGCCACGGTCCCGAAGCAAAAAAAAAAAAAACCAACTAGTTTGCGCCTTGTTCCTAAGTTTTCCTCGAGGTATTTTGTTTCCGCATATTTCTCTTACTATAGTACACTACGCGTTCATCATCTGGGACAAGATTTACCTATGCCTAAAGACCCAACCTCGCTGTTACCTAATCTATTTTAACGGCGCTGAATAATCCATTACGATAGAACCAGAACCAGTCACGTGGAAGCGCGGGTATCATTGGGTCCTTAACTCCGTTGAGGTCACCTTGAGTTCTGCCGACGCCAGATTGGACAGGCTATACGATTAGGAAACCCGGGGGCTCTCTCACATTGGCCTATTGCCCCCGTTACTCATCCGAATCTCGCCTAGAATCCTCTTTCGAAATATCGAAGTTTTCTTGTTAATTGACATTAACTACTACCTTGAGTAATCAATTCACGGTTAGCCACTCCGCCAGGCGCATCCAACCTACCAATCTGCGAATCTACGAAACATTAACCCTACTACGGATTACAAGGTTCCAAGGTACTGCTGCAGGATTGCAGTATTGATATACGCAACAACTCAACGACAACAACACCACCTTACATATTCATCCTATGTGTTGAGGAGTACTATACACTAGTACGCTACAGCTGCTGCAACTGTATAGTCGTTTGCCAAATCAGCAACAGCAACAGCAACAAAACACAACGGCTTCGCGCGCTATTTACACTCTAGCCGCATCGTTCCTTTAACTTTGGCGTGCGATAAAAAGAGACATATCCTAGGGACAAGACATACTATCCCGGTGTCCAGATTGACTTTCCACCCCTGCAACGACAAACGCCGTCCTTATTCCGAGCGGAGCCCGTCGCGAGCTCCTCTTTTTAATAGTGCGTTTTGGACGGAAACGGTTCCGTCCCTGGGTATTCAGTGTGTTTCCGCCTATTTCGTTATTACAGATACGGTCGCACCAAGTTCGTCACGACACAAGTATCGCGTTATCCTTGATGCTGACTCAGATATTCAAAATGCAGAATCACGGTAAGTAACCGCTCCTTCTTTAGCTCTTTAGCTTTTAGCTCCTGCTCGTTTTTTTTGCCCGGTGCTGCACTAGAAGCGTTTCCAACCATCATCGAAAAGGAAAAAAATTAATAAAAAACCCCCACCCCCCCGTACTTCTATGTTCACCCCTCCCACCGTGACGCCGCATTACTGCGCAGTTACACACCCCCCCTCGACCACCCCCCAGCTATGCTCTGACCGTCTAAGTCGCTTGAGGTCACCTTTCACTGCGAATATGTAATCAGACATACCTACCTCATATGCTGGCGCCAGGAGTTTTCTGCTACTGTTGCTACTGTTGCTACTACTACTTTTGACGGCTTCGGGGTCGCGTTGCAAGGCCAATTTGGGATCCATCCACTTGCTTTTCCAGTCCCCATATCCCTTCATTACGAAATACCCGCCTACATCCTAGACAAACTTTCCTACATACATATTCGGTCTGTAGTCCGCCTCACTTGCTCCGTGGCTCTACTTCTGATACCTTTTATGTCTCTTTTCTCCATTTTTGGATATATACTCCGGACCTCTACCGATATTCTCATACTGACATAATATCTTTGCTTTTTTTATAGAGGAATCTGAAGTGCGCGCAAAGATCGAACCGGGAGCGAGTTACTTGAACCACTCACCACCTACGTCAGCGCCGTCTCCATTAGCTGCTGTCGCTGCAACTCACCCTGCTCTTAAGCCTATACGCCCTTCACCTCACGCGCATGGATACGGCTGTTCCAGTTTAGAGGCGCAGTCGCATATTCACCCTCAGCTTAGAACGTCTTCTACAGGTGTTCCGGCATCTGATATGATGCAGAGAGGAGTCTCACCTCCGTCCGACGAAGGCGCACCTATTTCTGCGTCTCCCGTGGCCAACATGGCTGCTCAAGGCCTCCTAGGGCACGACCCTGATGATTCAGTGACAGACGGGCGAAAGGCGAAGCGGGAATTATCGCAATCGAAAAGAGCCGCCCAGAACAGAGCTGCTCAGGTGAGTGGGGCGCTTCCTTTGTTTTGCCATGGTTTACGAACTGGAGCTGCCGTAATCAAAACGGTTTAGAGATCCGAGTACCTCGCTCGCGTGTATACTAGCTTGGCTGCTCCACCATATTAGGACTCATCCATGCGTCTAAATACGTAACTAACCTGTTTCTCTAGCGTGCTTTCAGGCAAAGAAAGGAGCATTACATCAAGAAGCTCGAGCAGCAAGTACGCGATTATGGAGAGATGGAGCACAGCTTCAAAGCGATCCAAAACGA